AATAGAATATTCGTGAACTAATGATTCTGAAAATAGATTTAATTAGGAATGTTGGGATTATCAGAAATATTAATTCGATAAAATGCGAATTATCTGATTGGGTATCTAAAACTTCTGAATACTCTCGGAAATTTCCGCGATCGTCTACTCTGATGAAGGACCCAAAGAAGGTTTACTGTATCGATATTTAATCACTGCCATTTCTGAGAATCGAACTACTATTGCATAATTGTTGTTTTCCCTAGCTCTTCTCAGCCCGTTATATTATTAAAAATATAGTAAAGGATATTAAGAGAAAAAACTGAGGCGGACATCGGCGTATATTTTACTTTAATATTGTATTTTCGATATCTTATGTAAAGGTTATTAGGTATTTTCGTACACACACGCTGATTTGATTTATCGCATTGGTTATCAATCACCGTGATCAAAATAATATTATTTTATCCTTATCAAAAATATTGTTAAAATATAGCTGTATAATTCAAAATAAAAGAATTCATCAGTGTTTGAAATTGTTTGATAAAAAAATGGAATAGGGTTTAAATACAGCCTTTACCCATACAGTTGAATTTATGGAGGCTAACATTTTTGATTTGTATACGTTTACATATGACTTATAATATACGTATAGTTTAAGCTCGGAAGTCATTTGCCCAAAAGGGTTAGATAGGTAACCATCGAAAACTGGGGCGGGGTATCTTTGTACACATAATTATCACCGTCCGTGTACCTATTTTGCATGGTTTAACAGTGTTCCGAAAGTTTTTGGACGGGAAAACGCGGCGTAAGGGAGGTAGGGAGGAGCGGTAAAAGTTTCACAGTTATAACTCACCTTGTCCTTCCCTACTCGGGTAGTTATACCGACCTTACAAAACCGTAATAATATAAAGAGATGTTATTTAGAAGTTGATTATTATAATATTATACACTGCTGCAGAAGCATTTTGTATACGACAAGGCTTTTTGATAAATGGCCGCATCACGGACAGCAGGGATTCCTTGCCTGCCTACCTTTGTTACTCTATGCACTTTTGTTATTTATATTTCTTGATTAACACTTTGTTTCGAAAAGAAACAAAAAACATCTCCCCCCCCTACAGAAAAAAAAACAATTCTTACAAAATATAATAATAATACGCCCAGGAAGCCTTTTTTCTTAACTTGTTATTATCATATGATGCATAAACTTCCACCCTTCAAACACAAAAGTATTGAAGATGAAATGTAATTTTGAAAAGGAGGGGTTCCTATTTGAAAATCAAAAGTGTGCATTTATTATTTAAGGTACATGAAGTAGGGGAAAAAAATTTAAAATGGTTTTAAAATAAAGCTTAAACGATTCCATAATGGTTAGAAAAAACAGAAATCAAATTTATTTAAAATCCTCTGAAATTATTGCTGGTTCATGATAAAAAAAATCACCCTGTATATATATATATATATATATATATAAGAGTTTTAATAACAAATTTTAACGAAAATCATAAATATTATAGCCTTTCAAAACATGTATAACCGAACTTCGCTCTAAATCGTTTTCCGTTAGTAATGACTTATCGTTGCTAACACATATAAATTAAATAATTTTATGTATCCTACCTTCCCAACTTTCTACCTACAACAATAGCAGACCGATCCCAATATCAGCTCTTTTTCTAAATTATAATTAGAAATACAGTAAAAAATCATTTAAAAAGATAAATACACTGAAATTGCTATATCTAATAGAAATCTTATACAGCAAAACCAACACTATCTTAAATTTTTAATTATCTCGGATTTATTTCAACTTGTACACCGAATGCATATACAATCGTATAAATGTATACTCGAATGTGAACGACTAAATTATTCTATTCGCTTTGTTACACATATATTTATATACTATACATGTATATAAATTATTAAAGTAGATTGGTCGTACCATGAGAAAGGGGTGATGGAGAATTCTTTAGCAAAGAAATTCACCCTATAGTCGTTGACCCTACTTTGTGATAATAAAAGTCATTTAGCTATGAAATTTCAAATGGGGGAAACAAACCGGAGAGTGGATTTAATACGACAAAGTATATACCGACTGTAAGGATGCGTTTTAATTTCCGGCTTGAGTCTTTTTCGAAAAAAAAACAAAAATAATAATAATAAAAATAATACGATTCCACGGGTACAGGCTATTTGTCACCCGCCCAACGGCTACGGTCTATTAGTCAAATGTTATTTTACAGCGAACAACTGACGAACTTCATTGGCTTCCATTTGCCATTAATATTCATTTAGACAATATCTCATGAATTTCCAAATACCGAGTAGGAAAGAAAAATCTATTATAACTGTTCACCGATTTAAGTATGTATAATAGTGAATATAGTTTATACTATAATTGAACCGATGTAATTTTTTTCTAGCAGGTAAGTGTTAAAATTGTTCTCGAATAGCCGAATACATATATATACTTTATATATTTTTATTGTTATTTATGTATGTACCTATACTCATACAGTTAGTGCTAATAAAATATTTAATTATAGTAATTATTTAAAATGAATTAATCTAAAATATTCTCTTTTTTTTGAGAAAACTATATAGGTATTTGAATTTATTTAATAATATTTAAGAATTTAATCGAATAAGTTTGGAACATACGTTTGGAATATTGATGACTATGAATCATTAGATTCAATTCAGAAATAGCTGAAGAAACCGTTTCTGTTCATCGATAGGCTTAGATTTAGGAGAGAAATGAGTGGAGAGGAGCCATACCCCCTAACAATTATTATTTTAATTTCTGTCGGCAAATCTGACGTAAATCATCTTGAGGCGATATTTTGTAAATTTTTAATTATTACTTTAATTTGGTATTTAAATAATGAATCCGATACATTTATAATAATAATATTTATTTATGAAATATAAATAGTAAATCAAATTCAATATTTAATATGTACACGTCATCACGATTTCATAGAACAAATTGAAAATCGACAAGAACCACTAACCAAATTCATTACACTCAATATGATCAACATAATCGTAAAACCATTAAGGAACATCTTTAAAATGACATGGAAAAACAATTTTTGTAAATATAAGTTGGAAAAGATGAAAGTAATCCCTCCTGGATACACCGAATATAAAATAAATAATGACAGAGTTTTAATAAACTAAATATTTTACGTCACCATTGTGTTAATACAAATATTGATACAAAATTAGTATATATATTGTATATTAAAATGTTCTGAAAAACTAAAACGTATTTTGTGGTAGAAAATAAAATATGCAGGTTAATTTTTACAGTTGCAGTAGGTACTGCATCAATTGAACGAGAATTCAGTACATTAAAGTAGATACTGAACTTTTTACGTTCAAAAATAAGTGAATATAGTACACAATTTTATTTTATTAAACTGTGATAAAGATTTAACTAATGAAATTGACATACAACAATATTAATAATAAAACGCTGAGCTCTCCTTAAAAAAAAAAGGGGCCCTCCTGTGAAAATTTTAATTTTAATTTTTAATTTTACTGATTTATTAACTTTTATGTTTATTTTATTTTTATATTAAATAATTTGTATACTTTTGCAAACTCAATACATTTAAGGTCAAACACATGATTTTTGACATCTCAAAACATTTAAGTTATACATAAGTTCAGATAAATGTTTTGAATAGATTAGATGATTAGTTCACAACATGTCTACGATCAGCAAGGCCTGAATCTAACCTAACCTGAATATGTCAAATATTTTACGAATCGGTTTATAATCATGATGATGACAAGGTATCTACAGAAAATAAGCAGACAAAGAAAAACATTTACGTTTAACTTTTTCAACAGTTATGCGTTTATAGACAATTGTGGATCCCAAAGAACAAATCCGTACTCAAGTATAGGTCGGACTAAAGAGCAAAAAAGGATCTTTAATGAAAGATCTAATTTGAATTCAAAAGAGATACGTATAATAAAACCAAGAATTTTAAATGTTTCCATCAGATCCACCTAATCTAACCCTAATTTAGGAGATATATTTGGTAGATAATTATTTTTGAGGTATTATTGTTAATATCTATTTTACAAATAAAATATTGCCTTAATTACACACACATAATATATGTACACATTCTTTATTGATTATTGTTAATAAATAATGTATGTATAGGTATAATATAGTCTTTGATTGTTATTTATTTTTCGTTTATTAAATTATGAAACTCTTCCTCAAATTGTACGAAAGAATAATTTTGTTTTATTATGCTATTGTTCGGATAAAGAAATGAGAATCACTCACTACAGTAATGCCAGTGTTGTTTGTTTTCGGTAAATTTATCCCGAGGGAATAATCTAACGGGGGTGAACGCAATTCATTTATTCCCCAGCTTCTTCCTTTTTTTCCCTATCGCTCCCATTGAAGTCTTAGGACAAGTTTCTCGTTAGGATATTTTCTTCTGCAACAGAATCGTTTTATTTTTATCGCAAACGGCTCATCTTTACCCCAAGTGCTTTTGCTTGTTTTTTTTTTTTTTTTTTAACGAATTTGCTTTGGAATTAAGTTTATTCGGGTTGAACGCTCTTGAAAGCGTTTTTAATAAGAATTACCTGAAAAATAAAGAGAGAACAAGAAAAAAAACCGTTGCTTATAGGTATAAGGATTATTCCTGTTGATCGTAAAATACATACGTATCTCTTGAAGAAAAACACCAAGTAGTGCTAGAATTTTTACAAAGAGGGGTTTCTAAAAAAGAATTTCAGAAAATAATATTATATAACTTATATTAATATAGTTTATGAAATATATTAATATTTTAATTAATATAAATACTTTTGCAAAAATAAAATAGATATAAGTAAGTACATGTAATAATATTTTTAAAACTGGCACTGTAAAGCACTAATTTTGTAAATTAGGTGCTTGGTACCTAAGTCGATTAGTACTAAATTTGATTGTTGATACATTTTTAAAATAATTTTCCGTTTCGATTACACAGTTGAACATTACTTAATGTTTAGAAAAGCAGTTTTTGTACAGAAAAAAAAAATAATATTTGAAAAATAAAATAGTTTATAGCAAACATCTGTTTAACATAGGTATTACATTATCTATTTAAATTCATTTCGACGTCTATCCTTGTATATTATAAATTACAAATTTGTTCGTGATTTAAATATAATATAATATTTTAGATTCTGAATAGAGCGAAAAAGCTTATGGTTTTACAAAGATGTTAATTTTTTTTTTTATCTGTTAATAACTTTTCTACCAAACAATTTCCTCGGATTTCTAAGTGTAGCACCTTTCCTGAAAGTAAATCGATGTAGAGAGGCACTTCATAGAGGTCATTTTTTAATTTCTTAAGATTTTTCTTATCAAATTTGAAAGACCGAAAAAAACAAGAAAATATAAGTAATGTAGGTATCAATTAAAATATATTACGGCCTTTTTTTTTCTGTGCACAACTCTTCTACCAGCAATATAAACCCAACTTTTAATGATACCAATGTTTTTTTAAAGAAAATTTCACTAGAGAGGTACTTTGAAGAGGTCATTTTTCGATTTTCTCAGGAGTTTTTCCAGCAAATGAGAAAAACCGGATTAAACGTAGGGAAATTGGGAAAACCAGTATAACATTAAACAAATATTATTAAAAAAAATATATAAAGCCTATTTAATTATTTTATTATAAATTAGCATATACTTTTTCGTAAGCAATGGTTTATTTTTACTACGGGTATACATTAAATTATCTATAGCAGTTGCTACACCCGTCCTCATTATCCTAGGATGTCTTTTTATATTTTAACAGTTTTGTATTTCATTAAACTGTCCAAGGGAGAAAATTTAATTTTTCTCGTCGAGTTTTATTAAAACTATAATTATTTACTAGACGTTATATTGTCAAATTATAAAATATAACAACGTGTACGTGTTAAAATGTCAAAAGTGTTTTTGTGAAGATCGTTTTAAATTTACGACTCAATTCACTCCATCCGCCCTGTGAAATTTCATCTGATATAATTGGAAACTAATTCCGCAACATCCCTCTTGAATAAATAAAATTAAAAAAATAAATGTAAAAAAAAATATTTTTAAAGATAAATTAAATTATAACATTATAATATTTTATATTTTTGTAAAAACATAAATTTAAAAAGCGGACAGTGAATAAAGAAAATTATTTAAACATTGTTATCTTGTTATACGTAAAAAATCGACCCTTCAACAAAAAGTCCAGGCTGATTATTATTGTTCGAATATGATGTATTCAATTAAACGTGCACGATAGTTATTTTTAATTTCCCGAAAGGTTGATATTAGACTAAACCTCTTTCACGAATAAGCGATTCAAGTATAATAATAGATAATAATTGACAAAAAATAAAAACTGATCTATGCGACCTAACGACCTAATTGTAATAATGTACTTACGCATTTAAAAAGGACGGACATACTTTGCACATGGGTGCAAAGACTGTAGGTGGGAAGTTGGGAAGGTAGGTTACTGACAGAAATTTAATGTATATCTGTAAGTAACGATAAACCATTGCTAACGAAAACCGATTCTGAGCGGAGTTCAGTTGAAAGTGTGGCTTTGTCAACAATACAAAATATTTTATACGTCATATTATGGTAAAATGATTACAACAATGTACGTTTCCGTGACAACAATGATTATTTAAAAAAAATTAAAATAATAAGAACTTAATAATAACAAAAAATAAATAAAAACGGTTACCAAAGACAACCTTATTTTTAATAATAGGGGGAGTCCTACTGGTTTTACAATGATGTATATTTTTTTTTTTTTTAATTTTTGTCCTGTGTACAACAATTCTACCAGAAATCTTGATCCGATATGTACGCGCGGCAACTTATTGTAAAAGAAAATATTATCCTGATGGTACTATTGAGAGGCCTTTTTTCGTTTTTCTAAGCGGTTTATATAATATCTGGGAAAAACCAGGGAAATAAGAAATTGACGAAAAAAATTGTTTGTATTATTATTTAAACTTTGTTAATTTTGCAAATCAGTTAAAAATATTCGTAATGATTTAAAATTTGGACAAAAAACCTATATTTGCCTTTTCTAGACATGTTAAGATTTTTAAAAAATAGAGAGCATTTTTGAGCCATTTATGGACTTTTTAATTTTGAGAGTTTTGTATGAAATTTTTATTCGGTAAGTACTCTATAGTCAATTATTGGACATAACAGAAATGCTTGAAAATTCAACAAGGTATTCATTAAAAGACTTACTTTGTGGTAAAAAAAGACGTCCTAGGATAATGGAGATGAGTACAACCACTGTTGTAGATAATTTTACGTTTAACGATAAACCGTTGCTAACGAAAAAACGATTCTGAGCGCATTTCAGTTCATAGTGATGCTTTGTCAACAATTTATTTGTCATATTATGGTAAAATAATTAAATAGGCATTATATAGTTGTATAATATTGTTAATATTTGTTAAATATTGTCTCGATTTTCCCCTTTTTCCTGCGTTTATCCCGGTTTTTCTCATTTACTGGGAAAACTCTTGAGAAAATTGAAATTGACCTCCCTAAAATACCTCTACAGTCAGATTTACTTTCAGAAAAAGTGCTATCGTTTTAAATCGAAACAAACTTGCTGGTAAAAGAGGTGTACACGGAAAAAAAGGCCAATTTTTTTACTAATACCTACATTTCGTACATTTTCCGTTTTTCCGACTTTTTATCCAAGTTTTCCCCAGATATTATGAAAATCGCTTGAAACATCAAAACATTACCTCCCAGAGGAAAAACTCCCTTTTAGAAAATAAGCTACAATTGATACATCGTAGCAAGATTTCTGGTAGAAAAGTTTGCACAACAAATCGTGAGGTATTTTACGATTAAAATAGTCTGAGTGAGCGATGGCTGTGTCTCTACTTTTCTCAGTGTACACCCAAAATGTATTTGTTTTTTCCTTGTTTAGGTAAAAGGAATAAAAATTGCAAACAATTTTGTTTAAAACGAGGGTTTAAACTCGAGAACCCTATGATGATAAGAGGTATGTATAACCATCATATCACGGTAAACATACCTTAAATACGATATTACATAGTTATTTAACATAACATAAAATATCCGCATAATATCAGAACTTCAAAAAGCTATAATTTCGAAACTTAGTCATTCCATTCAATTCTGACGTCACCATCGTTCTAAAACCGGCAATATACATATGTTCGAAAAGAAAAAAATTAAAAAATTAGATTTGTTCCACGTTATTCTTTTCTCAAACGACTTTCGTCAAAATTTGATATTTATAAATTTCTTTATAAAAAAAAAATACTACTTTAAACACACATTTTTTTTACCACAAAGTCAGCCTCTCAATGAACCTCCTGTTAAGTCGAAACATTTTATCACTGAGTACCACCAAATTCGTACAAAACCCGTAAAATTAAAATGTCTATTAATAACTCAACAATGCATCTTAGAAAAACCAATACATTTTTCGCCGCATTCAGAATCTAAAATTTAGTTAAATGTTGTTTTTCATTTTTATAAAGAAATTTAAATATCAAATTTTGACGAAAATCATTGGAGTAAAATCTAATTTTTCATTTTTTTTTTTTTTTTTTTTTTTTTTTTTTTTTGACATACGTATTGCTGATTTAAGAACGATGGTGAAGTCAGAATTGAGCGGAATGACTAAGTTTCAAAATTATAGCTTTATGAAGTTCTGATATTATGTGGATATTATACGTTATGTTTAATAACTCAATATTATCTTCTTTAGACTATTTTTGTCGTAGCTGAACGATTATATATACATATTGTCATTCTAATAGTCACAAGTGCAAACCCGTGTTTCAAAAAGATTGTTAGTACTTATTTTTTTCCTTTTCCTAAACAGAGCAAAAACAAATGTATTTTATATGTACCTAGTTTAATTATTTTACCATAATATGACATATATATTATATATTGTTGACAGAGCATCACTATCCACTGAACTGCGCTCAGAATCGTCTTTTCGTTAGCAATAGTTTATCCTTACTTACAGATATACATTAAATGACCTATAAAAGCGACTGCATCTGTTTATATTATTCTATAACGTCTTTTTTTTGTATAGGTTGCTTTTTGAAAATCAAATATAGGTAGAACCTCACATTTAAAAATAAGGGTGCCAAAATAAGGACAATATAACATTTTAGAATATATTTTAATTCAAACAATTTTTAACTTAAGTTTTTAAATAACTATTTCATGGAAAATTTGGTTGTATTTGAATGACTCTGCAGTAAGTGTATATAATATAATATAATATAATATTGCGTTGTTTATCTTGTGTAACGTAAACTTATAATGAAAATTGAATCTGTTTTCACTCCTTTTTTTCCTGTTTACCCATCATTTGATTTATTATTTTCTAACTTATAATTTATAATAATTTATAACGCCCGCTCATAAACAATAAAAACTTTAAACAGACCGTAAACATTTCTTATGAACTTTTGACTTAAGTTGTATGACAAGTAACGAATCAATAGTTTATAATGGTTTTCTAATGATTTATTTTCGAATCAAATTAAATTGTGTATGCACGTCCACAACAATGACAAAAACAAGTCGACCAAAAGTTTGTAGTTTAGTACTTGTCTTATATTTGTTTCACTAATCTCAGACCAAGATATTAAGACAGTATTATCTTATTATAAAATATGTATATATTTTTGTGTTGTTATTATTTTTATAATAATTATGATATTTAAAATATAAAAAGACGGACATACTTCGCACGTGGGTGCAGCCACTGTTCTGGTTGGAAAGTTGATACAAAGGTAGGATACAAAAAATAATTTAATTTATATTTGCACCAATAAACCATTGCTATTGAAAAAACGATTCTAAGCGGAGTTCAATTGATAGTGATTTCTTGTCAATAATATATACATAAGAAAATATTTAATGCTTAATTAATTATTTTACCATAATATGACATATAGATATATGTCATAGTAAGGTAAAATATAGTCTTTAATAATATTATTTTATTTAATATTATACCGATCTCCTACGTTTTCCCCAGTTTTCCAATATTTTCCCCCGGTTTTTCACATTTTCTGGGAAAACTTTTGAGAAAATCGAAAAATGATCTCCATAAAGTACCTTCTCAGGAAACTTTTCTCTTAGAAAAAAGGTCTACATCATATACATTGTAGTAAACTTTCTGGTAGAAAAAGTGTTGACATAAAATAAAAAATAAAATGAACATCTTTGTAAATCCATGAGCTTCTTTGCTCCATTCAGAATCTAAAATTCAAATGATACATTCAAATACATTTGGCTTCAATATTCAATCCAAAATTAATAATAAACTGTTACTTTATTAATTATATTATTGATTTAAGTACTATATTAATACCATTACGAAATGGAATCTAATTTTTGATTAAAAATACAACAATAAAGGTCTCTTGTTGTTTATTTATTGGAGCGGTATTTACATGTAAAAGGAATAAAGCTGATCTCTTGTTATTCTTCGATTAGAGTAATTTTTCTAGTAGATAACATAAGTTAAACATATCAAAATAATTTGTTTGGTTTTTCCCAATTATTAGGAAAACTATTTAGGATATCAAAAAATTACTTATTATGTCATCGGTGAAGTGGTAAAATATTAAAAGGAACAAAATAGAAATTTTGTCATTTTATAATAATAAAAACAATGAAAACAGTAAAGCTACGACGCGCCGTAAACACATATTTGCCGTTTTACCTTTAATTTTCTTTCACGGTTTTCCAAATTGTTTTGAAAACCCCTTGAAAAATCAAAAAATGGTCTCCTCAAGGTACTAACTAGAGAAAATTACCTTTCAGAAAAAGTGCTACCGTCTATACTTTAAGTTTTCTGGTAGAAAATTTGATCATAAACACAAAAAATAAAAAAAAAATACACACACATCAAAGTAAAACCAATATATATTTCGCTAAGCTCCGAATCTAAAAATACACATCGTAGTCAAACCAATAGATCTCTTGCTATACTCCGAATCCAAAAAAGCACATATTGGTAAAACTAATAGATCCCTCGCTACATTCAACAATAATTATAACGAAATTAAATTGAGTATTACATCAAGAAACAAGGAATATGCAATAGAAAAATTGTTTAAATTGAAACTCAGATTCAGATGATCAAAAAAATCCAGAAGTATGATTTGGAGGCATCTGTGCTAGGTGCTATATCTAATACGCGGCCACCATACCATGTGCTATATTTTAGCATGGCCGCCCGAATTGTCCACCTCTTCATCGACATATGTTTCCCCCCACCCCTTTTTCGACTATACCTATCGTTATCATGATTTAAAACCATGACTATACCTCCTGATATACCTAACCTTATAACGGTTTATATCACGGTTATACCTACGGTTTAACCTAGGTTAGATAATCTCTTATCTTCCCCGTATGTGTTATATAATATACATTTTCCGTCGCCATAGACACACATACACACACACACACACACATACAATTTCCACTATATACGTATTATAATCCAACGGGTCCCATTTCCGAGAATCTAGAACGAAAAACTGAATATGACAGCAGCACCGCGCACATACCGCAATGTGTTTCTTGCCTGTAAGAAATGTATTGTTCTCGGTTTTCCTGTTCGCTCATGTATAGAGAGCGTCAACAGATTTTTGTCGGTATTGGATCGTTAGTAGTAGTACTACTACAAACCTACGCACACGTCTCTCCGCTCTCGTTAAATTTTTTTCCCAGTTTAATTATTTTTGTTACCAATTTTCGGCTCGTAACGATTCGATCGTTAGTAATAATACTTCCCAAAACTCACGCATTCGTTAAATTGTTTTATTATTAATCTACGTGTTTTTATTTTACATAATATGTTCGCCTGTACATTCGTTGGTTGCACTTAAGTTTTTTCCGCCAGGCGTAGTATGTTACACCACGCAAAAACGTATGGCGGCCTAAAATTTGAATGCGATTTTTGCCCGAAAATGTTTACGCAAAAGGACAACCGTACTGACCACATTAAAGATATTCATCGCTATGCCACCGCCGTAACCGTCGTCCCCGCTGCAGACCTCGCCGCCCACGACGGACCATCGAATGCCACCGCTGCCGGACCGCCAAACAAAAATTTATGAGAAGGCAATTGATGACGACAAGCTGCTTATGAAATTAGATATGGATTTATGTAAAGGTAAAATTTCTTTTTATTATTACAACTCACCACACATGAAGTAGTTTTAATTTCTTTTTTTTTCGGTAGGTATGAAACGTAAACATAAGATAACTGTCGCGAAGGCAAAAAGAGCTAGGATGGATTTGGTGAATTCCTCCGGGATTTGTCGAAATCGATTCTTCTTTCTCTCGTAAAATCGTGTAATATTATGTGAAAAATCTCGAAAACATTCAAAATTATAAAAAGTTTCTCTTTTCGACTAAACCAGCTCTATTTCAAATTTTCAAAACAATAATACAAAATAACCCCATTAAATTCAGTTTGAAACTTGAGGCCACATATTACAAACCACAAGTCGATAATTTCTCCGAGAGCAGAATGTTGAAGACCTCCATAGTGAGATAGAAGATATCGTAAAAAAAATTCACAAAATTACTTTTCGAACAGGATATTTATCAATGACGGGGTAGCGGTTTTTCACTACAGCGTATCGATGGGCTTTTATTAGGTATATACAATTACCAACCTATGAGAGGTAGTTCGTTTATCCAGCTTCCCGTCAGTATACAAAATAAAAAAGCTGTAATCAACTCGAAAAATACAGATGAAAAATGTTTTAAATGGGCAATATTAGCGAAAAATATCACAGAAGACCATAGTTACAGAGTAAGTAAAAAATATATCGAGTACGCAAATAAGTACGACTTTAACGGTTTAACGTACCCGACACCGCTGTCAGACATTAAAAAATTCGAAAAAAATAATTTAATCGTGTCGGTAAATATTTAGGGATTGAGGGAGCTACAGAAAAATAAAAATACGATATATTCTGTTTTTCCGCTTAAGGTGGTCGACGAAGAGAAGAACAACCATTTTGACTTGCTCTTAATACCCGAAAAAGACAAATCCCATCATACTTATGTATCTAACTTTTCTCGTCTCGTTCGATCTCAAAAAACGCTGCACAAAAAAGAAGTGGTCTTCTGTAAATGATGTTGGTAAACCGTGGTATAAACCGTGTAAGGTTCGGTATAACAGGACATACAACCATGGTTTCAACAGTAAGTATAGTCGTGATAATATAAATGATAACAATAGGTATAGCCGAAAAAGGGGTGGGGGAAACATATGTCGATGAAGTGGTGGACAATTCGGGCGGCCGTGTAAAAGTATAGCACATGGTACGGCGGCCATGTATTAGGTACAGAACCTGGCCCAGAAGCTCCCAAATCATCCTACTTTATCCCAACTTTATACAGCCGGTATTGACCTATAAGTGTAAAACCTATTCACTAAAGAAGATGAAGAGAAGATGAACACTATTGAAAAAAAAGTACTACACCGAAATTTACCAAATGTGTCATAAACCCATTATCAGTGTGTATTTAAAATGTAAAATATTAGAATAGGCTGGTCATATTTGGAAATCTAAAGGTATAGCAAACAACATTTTTGCTGGAGGACTGAACGTAAAACGGTCTAGTGGTCGATCGAGACAAACATCGGCTGAAAAGGTGAAGACAAGTCTCACTGAAATCTCTACAAAGACAAGAATTGAAGACAGAAATAGGTGGAGAGGAGCAGTTGAGACAGAGGTCCTATATGAACTGTAAAAGCCTAGAAAAAAGAAGAGAATACTATTATGACACGACGTGTTTACATATTTTTATGCATAATATTTAATTAAATTTAAGTTTTTCTCGGTTTTGGAGAATTGGAGAGAACAATGGAGAATTCGAAAAATGACGTGACTAAAGCACCACTTGTGTTCAATTAACTATCTTAAGTCGTCAGATGAAAATTTTTGAGCATTTTTATTACTCCTAAACACATTTTCTGAGAAAAAACATATCATTATAAAACTATAATACGAACGTCCCTGCTTATGTGCAATCTAAAAACAGCCAGGTAATTATTAAGTAGGTAGGTAGATAATATAGATATTGAAACGGTTTTTCGATTTGTACTACCGGAATAATTTATTTCAATACCTACTTAAGTTTAAAAAAAAAAAAAATCTACATTTGTAATAACTGTTAAATAATTTAAATTATTATATTATTATATAATTTTTAGGATCTATTTGTTATCATAAAATGTAGTTTTATTTGATATTATTATTATTATTTTGTTTTTATCAAATATACATATTTCTGTCAAGTTGTCACTGGCACATTATTATGCCAGGCTATATAACTGGTACCATATGAACTAGTATCAACATTTTGTAAAGAATTTGCTGGATTTCGCTAGGGCATATTTTAGTTTTGCTAGGAGTCCTAAACTTCTAAAATTCACAAACAAATATGCCGGTGCTATCTTTGTGGGCACACCGGTATATTGTCCGATTCCATTAAAAAATATGCTAATTTTTTCAGACGAATAACGTGCATTACTCTGGCACCACCGTGTCAAATTTTGACTTCAAAACCAACTGGTATTGTGTAATAATTTGTATTCACAAAAAAAATATTTCGTAACCACCCTAGAATGTCAAAAAATCGATTTTTTATTAGTGGTGCTAGGGTAACGTTATCTTAGCATCGCCACTTATAAATAATGAAAATTGTAATAGTATGTAATCTTATTGTAAATTTGTACACATATTAATTAATAACGGGAAATAGGTTGATCAGTACTACAACGGCTAAATTGCACATTTCCACTCTAGATTGCCACACTCAACATAATTAAAATCAAAAGATGTAAATATTATATGCATTGATATAGGTACTGGACGATTTATTTTTTTTCCACCATTAACAAATATTTATCCACAAAGATGTTCAGTATATTTTATCTCAATTTTATGAAACCATATCTAGTTATGCTATAGTTTTAAAATAAAATTTTATCCATATCTTTTAACCTTCGCACCTCACATAAAACATGATACGTTTAATAATTATAGTATTAAAATAGTAATTCATATTTAACATTCAGTGGCGGATTTACGGGAAGGGGGAGGACTAGAAAAATATCCTCCATGAATTTTTTTAAGTATTTATTATTTGTATGACTAATTATTTTTAATTATTTTTAGTCACAAAAATATGTAATATGTTGGTGATTTAGTACCTACAGTTAATACGTACCGATATCAAAAAATCAATTTTTTTCATTTTTAAAACGAAACTTATCCAAATCACTATAATATGAAAGTATATAGATTAGTAAAAATACCTAAATAGTAAATAAACTATCAAATAAAATAATTACCTAAACCTTGTTATTTTATTTCAATATTAGTTTTAATTTTTAGGGCAGATTGTATTATAAATTACATACAAAAATATATAAATTAAAAATCTATCTATTTTTTTTTTACGTAAACCCATATGTTACATACAATATGATACAATTTCCAAATTTTATATCTTCTTCCTGGGCAAAATCCTGAATACTCCAATGTCAACATTAAATAAAAAAAATGCAATGTCATATAAATTCTAAACCTAATGATGGAAATTGTTGACATTTATATAACTTAAATTTCTGGAAGTATAAAAACTATTGTTTTAAATCATCAGTGTACGAAGTACTTTAAAATATTATAATGATTTGAATTATTCCTCATGTCTCATTCAATTTATGTTATGGATAGATTTAAATTAATTCTAAATTTATAAATTACTCATTAAAAGAAAAAACAACTTTTTGTAAGAGGGTTATTTCCGTATTAAATCAAATGAATCAATTAATACTGTTTTAGGGTTTTGATATAAATTACACGATATAAAAGCATTTATTTTTTTTTATTTTTCCAACTCTTAAAAAAACTTTATTTATTGCGCTTTGGTAAAGTTTGACAGCTTAAAAGTCCAAGAAATTTTTCACGTCAATTTTCCCAACCACTTATTTTTCTAGCATAGTGTCACACGTTATGCAATGATTTCTTTTCTCAATGGCTTTCACTCTGCATACTTATAAAATCAATAGAAATATTTACCATCTCATTTCAAAAAGAATGTTTTAATAATTTAGTTTTATGAAAAATGTATGGAAATAAAATCTATTTTAAGCGTATACTAACGGAATTTTTTCATTAAAATATAGATGATATATGAACTCATAATTTTGTGATTTCTGATCTAATCAAGAATTTCGTTAATTGAATACAAAATTGTAGAGTATTGAAATCTTTAAAGATGATTTAAAAATGGATTGTTAAAATGGGTTGCAAAAATGTGTAAAGTTATTAATTGGCATTAATTGTGTACTTAGGTGAAATTGACACAGATTAAAGATCAATGAGTATAATTCACACCTCATGGGTTTTTCTATCGATTTACTACTCGGTGTGTATTTAAGGAAATAACATAGCATATTGATAATAATCATCTTAAAATGTAATAAATAAATAATAAAAAAAAAGAGCTGATACGGGGGATGGGAGCGGCCACTGTATTAGGTGAGATGTTGGGAAGGTAGGCTACATCAGGCTATTTCATTTATATCTGTAAGCAACGATAAACCATTGCTTCACGAAAGACGATTTCGAGCACAGTTTGGTAATATATAATTTGAATTAAGTAGAAAAATTAAAATAATTAAAATAGTACAGTGAATAAACCTCAAACCGCTATTAAGATTAATGCGCCTTATTGTACAGATATTGTGCCTAATATAAAATTACTTTTAAAAATATTTACAACTTTTCCTGTTACAACGCCAAAATGTACTTTTTCTACCTTAAAACGACTGGAAACATACTTAAGAACAAAAATGACTGAAAAGAGACTAAAGGGATTAGCTTTAATAAATATTGACAAAAAAGAGGTCATTTCAGAAAGTAAAATCATTAAGAATTTTGCAGTAACAGCACCAAAAAGATTGCAACTCACAGATTGGTCAAAATAATTTTGTACAATTGTTACTATTTTATATGTTTATACACTTATAATTTTTTTTGGACTGAAACATCGGTTTTTATTATTGAATTACTACTTATTATTATGTACATATGTATTAATCTTAATGACTGACTGAAAATATAAATAAATTATTTGCATTAAAAACATTAAATAGTTGGTTGATTCTTTTTTTTTTTTTAGTAGTAGGTAATGTATATGGTAACATTTTAGACAGAGTATGCCCTCCTCCCCTCCTAAAAAAAATTCCAGATACGCCACTATCCTGTACTTGTTTTAAGTTGAATACTTTGATAAACAAACTCTCGAATCATGTAAATTCAACCGAAAAATAAATGCTCGAAGTGCGTATATAATATTATAACTGTGTAAAAAGTCCTATAACGGACGAACACGTGAACATGTTGTACGCAATATGTCCTTGTGAAACGACATTTTATTTATATAATGTTGGCACTTTTAATAATATTATTATTTCGATATGTATATAAATACGTATGTACTCGTATATTTGTGTATAGTAGGAAAAGGCCAGGGTCACATAATAATAATGCATATATGTAAACTATATACACCACGGAATATCAATCATTCTCCGCCCAGTCTTGCCGGAGCAGAGCAAAGGAGACCAATGACAACATTAACTCTGGGGTACGATAAATACACTTGTGCATACGATACGAGGAGCGTTGCGCGTCATCAATCATACGATGTTGATAAATATTTATGATATTATGTCTGTATATTTTCTATTGCATAGACGGTTCAGATATATATATATACACATACGATATACGATATAACAATAAGAAGACATGAATTCTTGTAAACCGCATACACCACCGCAGAGCGTTTGAAAACGAACGAAAACTTTTAAGGACTTAACTATATGCTATTGTTGTTATTATTGTTCGGTGAGTTGCCAATAAATTCGTTGTTCATGTATATTCGTACGATTTATACGCATGCGCGATGTGTGTATACATTATAATGAATATTGTACGCTATAAGACAGACTCGAAGGGATATTATATTCAAATGATCCGCCCGACGCGACGACGACGAAGGGAGCCCCTTGTTTACGAATGTATTGTGTCGGAATGACGTTAGGTAGGTATGCGAATCCCGCAAGCAATTTGCCCGATCCGTTACAAAATGCACAAGTTTTTAATACGAGAAGAACTATTTACTTATTATACCTACCTTTTGTTAACGACTATTTGAACAACAGTTAGGGTTTACCTATTATAACTTTTTAAGACACTCGCGTGTTAACATAATATCGTTATGATAATAAATTGTTTTCGTCTCGAACTCTCGTTCTATAATGCATTCTTACCTGTAGAGATTATATTATTATTGTAGATAATATAGCGAGCTATTTGTAAAAATTAATTGGTTCCCGTTTCTAATTTCTAAATCTCCAACAGTTTTTCTGTTGAACGTGAAAATACCAACAATAAATATTAATACATCACTTTATTTTTGTTGGCTACAACAGAACAAATACAAGTCACTACTCTACTCAGAATTGTTTTATGATTGCAATGATGAATGGTTAATTTCAGTAGATATATATGAATTAAATAACTCAATGTCCTATACATTTTAAACGTTCTCCTACTACAATAAGCAATAGCCTACCCGTGGTGCGAAGAGTACGTCCAGCATTTATTTGTTTGTGATAAGTAACACTGAACTTACTGTAATCGTTTTTTTTTTTTTTTTTTATTAATTTTTGAGTCTATAAAGAGATAAGAAAAATAGTAAATAACATTTATAATTTTACAAACAATTTATTTAGATTGTACGCATACTCGTTTCTAAAACTAAAAACTCGTACACAATTGTTTTTAACTATGTAATGTAAATACGAATAATTGATAAGTTTTATAACTATCACTTATCGTACCCTATAGATTTTTTTTAAAAATAATTAAGAAAAAGACGGATATACTTCGCAAGTGGGTAGGTCACTGTTGTAGATGAGAAGTGAGGAAGTAGAAGGGAAATTTAATAACGAAAAACGATTTTGAGCGTAGTTCGGTTAATATTGTTACTTTATCAGCAATATATATTCCTACATGTCACATTAAAATAAAATAAAAACATAATATGCATTATATATTTTCTTTAAAAATTTTTGTTTAATATTGTAAAATTATTTTCCCGTTTTTCCCATGTGTTTCCCATTTATTGAGAAAACTTCTGAGCAAATTAAAAAATGACCCCCACTCCCTAAAGTAGCATATAGATAAAATTTCCTTTCAAAAAATATCCTACACCTGATACATCGGAACAAGATTTTTGATAGAAAAGTTTACACAACAAATCGAGGGGTATTTTTCGATTAAAATAGTCCGAGCGAGCGATGGATTAGATTTCTAAGTGCATCCAAAATTCATTTATTAAATAACAGGGAAAAAAAAACTAAAATTTATTTTTGAAACTCGGATTTAAACTTGCCATCCAAAAGAAAACAAAAAGATAAAATTGGATTCTGCGACCCATTACTAACCTGGTTTATCTCTTTTTTAACTAATAGAATCCAGCTTGTTAAACCAAATCAGTTTGTTTCAGAACTCATCTATGTTCTCACAGTTTTTCCTCAAAGCGACCATCTTTTACCTACATTATTTCTATTATTTTTAAATGATATAAATACGATTATAAAACACTCAAATATTTTATTATTTGCACATGACGCTAAAATATTTAAAAAATTTGATTCTATTCATGATTGTATTAAATTATAAGATGATTGGTGTTATTTAAATGATTTGAGCCTCAATATCAACATATGCAAAATATTATCTTTTAATATTAAAAAATCGCATGTTTATTTTGATTATAAATTTAACAATGTTTCTATTGAACTAGTTGAATCATGTATCGACTAAGGAACTACGTTTGATTCTAAACTATGTTTTAATGAACACATTGATAAAATAACCAATAAAGCGTTTCAAAATCTTGGTTTCATTACATGAACTTCTACAAATTTGAATAATTTAAATACCTTTAAAATATATATTTTGTATTTGTGAAATCCAAATTAGAATATGAATCCCTTATTTGGTCTTCAAATAACATAAAAGTAACTCAAAATCTCGAAGCTATTTAGAATCGTTTTCTTGGTTTTTGAGCATTCAAATTTAAAATTGAACGTCCACGACATTCAGATTATAAGAGAGTATTATCTTCTTTCAATATACAATCTTTAAATACAAGGAGAAGTAACCTTCATTATTCATTTTTGTTGAAACTATTAAATAACTCAATAGATTGCCCTTTTTTACTGGAACGATTAAATTTTCGAATTAATACCAAGTCCACTAGAAATCAAGAAAGTTTTTTAATTAATAATGTTTCTAAATCATATTTAAAATCTTCACTTACGAATATACTAATGACCATAGGAAACACTGTAAACAGCTGTAAAATTATATACCACATAATATGTACTTTGTTATATTAATTTGAATGTGAATTTTAATACTATTCGTACCTAATTTAATTGTATATATACTTCTCGAAAAAAAAATTGAAAAAATAGATTTGTTCGACATGACTTTTTACTCATACAATTTTAAACAAAATTTAATATTAATTAAAATACCTTAAAATAAACAAAAAAAAATACTACACTAAGATCAATTTTTTTTTTTACCGGCAATTAAACTTTTAATAAATCTCTTGTTAAATTTTCAAGCATTTCTATTTAGTCTAAAAATTTTACCACAGAGTATACCTATTAAATAAAAATTACGTTCAAAACTCGCAAAATTAAAATAACTAAAACTTGTTCACAATTTTACCACGTCTATAAAAGGCAAGTATAAGTTTTGCGTTAAAAATTTAAGTCCATACGAATATTTTTAACTGAATTACAACAAATAACAAAATTGAAAATAATAAAAAGCATTATTTTCGTAAATTTACCGATTTTCTTACGCTTTATCACGGGTTTTCCCAGATATTATGAAAACCGATTGAAAAATCAAAAAACGATATTATCTAAAGTACTATCTAGACAATATTTCTTTTAGAAATGGCGCCGATCGTAAATATTGGAGCAACATTTCCGGTAGAATTTTTGTAGACGGTATAGAAAAAAAAAAAAATAAAAAATAAACATCATAGTAAAACCAATACATTTCTCGCTCTACTCAGAATCTAAAACAATTTTATAATACTATTTAATATATACGTTACGTATAATTATTAATAGCATAGTGTTCAATTGTATCGTGTTTAATGCAATGCGGTCGAATAAAACTGAAACTTGGGGAGAGATTTCGATAAAAAAAATATATTATAATAAGCCTAATAGGTTTTAACCCTAAAGGGTTAGTAGAGGCGTTAACGGAATGTAAACGTAGCATACTTAATATTAATTTTTTTTTTTTAAAAAAAAGGTTTATTTTAAATTAAAGGTCGAAAGTAAATAGGTATACTTTATTTATATATATATATATACAATTCTTGTGTCAAGTGTTTGTGGTCGCAATCCTCCGAAACGGCATGACCGATTTTAATGAAATTTTTCCGTATATTTGGTGGTATGAGAAAATAGGTCGTTAAGTATTTTTCGCCATCCTAACCCCGCCCATCATTTTTTAATCGTGATTTTAGTATTTTAATTCGGTTTTTAGGTATTATTAAATTATTTATTTTTATGGATTACCTTGTTTACACGGATGAAATGAAAAAAAAAAATGTAAAATTTTGGTCAAAACTTATCTATGGTAATTAATAAATAATCTAAAAATTCTAAAAAATGGTATGGGGAACGCTGGGCGGAACAGCTTCACAATTATTCTAAAGTTTTTCTCGATAATATACAATAGTACAATTCTGTCTTTCATGAAAAAATGTTATAACAGAAAACTACACACTTTCCATCTATTTGTTTTTATTTGTTATTATTTATTACTGACACGGTCAAAACTAAAAAATATTATGGGTAAAAAATGACACGAGCAACGCTGGACGGAACAGCTAGTATATATATAAATGTTTTACATCTTAATGTAGATAATAACACTGCAAACGTACCATGAACACAAAGACTCGAAATTGTATAGTGTATACATATATATTTTATTATTGCTGTAATGACTATAGCTATAAGGTAGATTTTTTTAGAGGAAATTTTACCTGGATGGTACTTTAAGCCACGTTTGGGAACCGAACCGCTCGTGAAGTGTTTGTGTCTATGTCCATTAATGCTAATTATATACTTGCGATTTGTTCACGAACCAATACCGACAATGAACCAACAACTAACAAATTACACTAGGTTCACGTTTGACACGCCGCCGTCTCAATTATTGTTTCTATCGGTTCACGATAGGTTCAGTTTGCACATGTATATGCAGCTTTAAGTTGGTCGTTTTTTTGATTTTTTTAGCGGTTTTCATAATAAATTTCAAAAAACGTAAAATAAACGAAAACATTTACGAAATGTATTATTTTCAATTTGGTTTTTTTATTATGATCCAATTTAAAATATTTGTATAGACTTGAAATTTGGAAAAAAAAACACTAATGTTTGATTTTTCTAGATGTAGTAATTTTTTCAAAACGTTTTAGCCGTGTTTAAGCTATTTATAAATATTTTAATTTTGAGAGTGTTTACGCAATTTTTATTGAGAAGGTAAATTTGTTTGACCAAACAGAAAAACTTGGAAATTTTATAGGAAATTCATTTTAAGTCGTAATTTGTGGTAAAATAAAAAAGAATTTAATGTAAAAAATTTTTGATAAGAATTTCAATATAAATATTGATGAATATCGTAAATATTACGACCTTACAAAACATGCATAACTGAACTTCGCTCAGAATCGTTTTTCGTTGGTAATTTTTAATCGTTGATCACAAATATACATTGAATTCCCCTCTATTTCCTACCTTTCTAACTACTGACCTACAATAGTGGCCAACCCGTGGTGTATAATATGCCCATCCATTATTATTATTTTTTTTTTTTTTACACATATCACGGTAATTTGATTTATGAATCAACTTTACCTATGTATTCAATAAAATATATATTTTATAAGCGTTATTCAGTAGCATAATTAAGGGAAACTAGTGGGTTTTAGCCCCCCTGGATCATTCTAAGCCCCTCAATTGTTTTTTTTAAAACACCTCTTTGGTTGCGCCACTTATTATTATATGATTAGGCTCAAGCCCTTCCAAGGTTTATGTCGTTTATGAACTAATTGGCGTTATTGGTACTGGCATTATTTAAAATTGGTTTTAACATTGAGGTCGTTGCACGAGTCACGATCAAACTTAATTTCGTAACTTGTAGATACAGAATGGTACTCTTTTAAATAATTAAACCTACAAACTCTGTACTTAATACGCCTTTATGTCATATGGTTTCAATTTCAAACTTTTTTTTAATTTTTATCTGATTCGTATTATCCTGATTATCTGCCTGCCTATCACCGGAAATCGTTCAATCGATAATAATAAATTATTAATAGTCACAGAATATGTTAGAAAACAGCAGAACACACATTAACTTATCTGTATTTTATAAAACCAATGAATTTATGTTTACGTACCTATACCATATTAATAATATATTATACGACTCGTTCATTCGTATAGTCGTTTTTTATTATTAACCATTAATTTTATAAACGTATAGAAATATTACTAATAATTAGTAAACCAGCCTTCAAGGTTAAATATAAAAAAGTTAATTTAATTTTTGGAAATTCGCCCCCCTTTGGGTGACTCCCGGATCCAATACTGAGCTAGTCATCCTAAAAAAAAAAAATTAAGCTACATAAATGTTAATTATAAAATATAAATACATTTAAGTAACTAAGTTCAGTTACAAATTTCCAGGAAATTAATCAAGTAAGTTCAAAGGTATACATTTTTAATTTTTTAATTGCGCTAATATAAATGTATTTTGTACTCGTCGAATAAAAAATGGCCACACAATAGAGTTGTGTGTAGTCTTGTTATATAATAATAATATTTACTTAAAATTACGTAATTTGTATCCGAAAATATTTGCAAGAAACATAATGTTAGGTATACAGGTTTTACATTCAAAATATTCGTAAATAACTTACATTTTTTAAAATGAACAAACTAAAATTATTAATTAAATAAAGTATTAACATAGTTTTTACTCGAAACGCTATTTGTTTCAACAGTTCAACAATGTATTTGTTGTACGCGTTGTTACCATCTGTTTGCGACGGTTGCCGTTTGCAGTGAATAAAAAACAATTTTGTTTATTTATCTTATCACTCTACTACTATAGTATCATTTTCCAGCAACATTAATAATAAAATATATTCATAGGTATTCATCGTATATTAATTTACTCAATCCATTAAACAACAAGGATATTTTGTCCCCATAATTTTTCACTCGATAAACAAAAAAACATAGGTTAACTACATCTAAAATTTTAATAAAAAAATAAGTGATACCCCAACAAAAATCCTTCGTCAACTACATATAAAAACCTCGCTAAGAAAATAAAAAACGTAAGTTAGAAAAGTTGTGATATCAAAAAGGAGGCTAGGTAATTTCTTAAATACATTGTTATAGAAATTGTTTATAATTATTTGTATTTGATGAAGCGCGATAATTTAAAACAAATAATTTCACTTAGCTTGGCAACTACTCATAGTATGCACTCAAATAGTATTATGGTAATATTAATAAATTATAAAATGGAGATGTAAATATTCATGTCAGCATTTTATCTTTATTTGAAGTCGTAAATATTAGCAGCCACCAAGCTAAATTAAATTATCGCACTTCATCAAATACACACAATTATAAACAATTTCTATACTAATGCATTTAAGAAATTACTTAGCCCCTTTTTGGTATCACAATTTTTCTAATTTGAGTTTTTTTTTTCTTAGCGAAGTTTTCACACGTAGTTGACGGAGGGTTTTTGTTGGAACACATATTATGATAATAATAATAATCCTGTCTACTATTATATAGAACAGAATTTTTGCGCCCATAACTAAAATAATGTACAATTTGATAACTTACCATGAAGAGCTTTCAGATACGCTTTACCCGCGTTTATCATTTGCCGGGCTCCTGGATTGAACTTTTCCAAAATATTCTGAAAATATACAAAAAAAAAAAAAAATAAAGTAAAAAGTACATTTCTATATTATCCAGCATTTTATTTTACGAATTTTTCCGATTAATATTTCTCATCACCTTATCAGTTCTCATTTGCAATGATTTAAATGTATAATTATTTTATACAATTATACCTGATAATATAGGTATAATATATATGATAAATATGATGACATAAAATGTCACAATCATATTAAGGTTATATTTCGTTATCCAACGCAATCCAAACATTTTAATCCAACAACCTTTCAACAGATTTATCGTTTGGTCAAATTTTGAAAATTATTAATTCACGGTTTAAGAGATGATGTTTTTTTCTTTTTTATAGGGTTATAGATTATCAATTTATTACCCTTCCCTACTTTTCTGGTCTAAACTTTAAAATGATACAACTCATAAACGGTAAGTCTGATATGAGTGTTATGTATATCAAAATGTTTAAAAAAATATTTTCTAATCAAATCTATGTTTAAAGAGGGAGAGACCTGTTTGAAAATCAAAAGTATGTACTTATTTAAGGTAGGTATATGGAGTAAAGGTAAAATATAAAAAATGGTTTTAAAATAAAGCTTAAATGATTTCATAATGATTAGAAAAAACAGAAATCAAATTCACCTAAAATTATGATTATGATAATTTTTTTTTTTTTTTGATGGACGAGATAATAGATAAAATGTGAAGACATTTCATCATCCCCCCCCCCATAAACATTACCAAATTACGCCACTGGTGGGTATAGGTGTACTCAATATTATTATTGAGTATACGGTTTAATAAACAATAGCGTGTGGGAGGCCCAATCTATAAGTTTAAATATTCTAAATGTTTGTTTAGTATTGGTTTTTTTCTAATTATTGAACACTTATTGTTACACGACAAAAAATTTTTAGACATAAATAATCAGATTAAGATGTATTAAAATAATAATAATAATAAAAAAAAATAAAAACGGATATATTTGCACTTCACATACTTCAACTTTTATTGGGCGAGGAGGGAGTTTGGATAGTGTGCAATACACAGAAAGCAACGATAAATTATTACAATAAGGAAAATTCTGAACGAAGCTCGGTAAACTGGTAAAATTATAGTGTATGAGAAGTGCTTTACCCTTCGTAGATAGAGATAACCCAGAAGTAACAAAAATTAAATTGAGGTATCGACATTTGTTGTCTTTCAACTTTCTAAAAAAACTGTCGGAAATCTAGAAAAACGTTTTAAATTAATATAGTACAACTGGGTGGAAATTATATATTATTGAAGATACAGCATGAAAATAGAAAGGTAAGATAATGGGGACAGTACAGCCACTGATATAGGTGGGAATTTAGGAAAGTAGGATATAGATGGAAATTTAATGTATATCTATAAGCAACGATAGACTATTGCTTACGAAAAAACGATTCTGAGCAAAATTCAGTTGATAGTGATGCTTTTTCAACAATATATATGTCATTTTAAAGTAAAAAAAATAATTAAATATGCTTTATATATTTTCTTAAATAAAATTAGCTTAATGTTGTACCGATTTTCCCGATTTTTCACCGTTTTTCCCATGTTTTATCACGGTTTTTCATATTTGCTGGAAAAACTCTAAGGAAAATCACAAAATGACCTCTTTAAAGTACCTCGCTAGTGAAATTTCATTTTAGAAACATTGCTATCATCAAAAGTTGAGCTAAAGTGTTGGTAAAAAGTTGTCCACAGAAAAAAAATGGTAAATTAAATTTATTATATTTCGTAAATTTTCCCGTTTTTTTTTTCAGTTTTTCGCATTTGATAAACTCTTGAGAAAATCGAAGAATGACCTATTTAAAGTACTTCTCTACGCCGATTTCCTTTCTGAAAAGCTGCTACATGTAGAAATCCAAATCCGAGAAAATCTTCTGGTATAAAAATTGTACACGGATAGAAAAAAAAAAAACATCTTTGAAAAACCATAAGCTTCTTCGCTTCACTCAGACTCAAAAAAAAGCAGTGATTTTACTAATAAAAAAGTTAAAACTAATAGCTTGTTTTGCTACACTCAATTATACAAATGTTTCGAGTAGGAGTTTTAATTACAAATTATAGCCCTTTTAAACTATAATATTTATCAAAACTAAATAAAAACCTATCCGATAAAACTGAGTATATCTACTATAAAACAAATTATCATCAAAAACCATTATAGGTTAATACCTATCATTTAGTGTAAGCACCTAGGTATAATAATAACATTATTAAGAAATGCTTAACGTGCAATTAAATTCACCTATACAAGAATATGATGTTGTAAACAAGTTGTTTATGAAATTATTTTTTTTTTTTAAAAACAAAGCAATGAGGTCAATGCCAATATTTCTAAATGTAGTTGAGTAATGTAGTTTAATTATAATATGTATATAGAACCTATATATTTTTATTATTTCTATATTATAAATCCTTATTATATTATAGGTGTGATATCTTACACTTATTGAATCTGCGGCGTTTTTTAAAGGTCTATAATTTAAAATATAATTATTTATTAAGTATATATCCCATTGATAATTAAAATAATAATTATATTTTTAAAATAAGTTGTTTATGGTATTACTTTTATAATATTTATGTATTCTGAACGGAATGAGGAAGCTATTATTCAGTTGTTATGATATTGAATTTTTTTCTTCCGTAAAACATCGGGCATGTCAAGTGTTCAAACGCACTTTAGTATAGTAAACCACGAGTTCAACTTGGAATATTGTTTTTCAAATGAAAAATTTAAAATAATAATGAAAACTACCCGGCATTATTGGCACGAGCCAAACAAAACAAATATTTCTAACGCCAAGTTTTTATATTATCTCGTCGAACTTTTGAGTATAAAATAGGTAAACTTACCTGCATTAATGAAGAAATAAATATTTAATGAATTTAATAAATATTATTGATTACCGATTATTACATACTTAAATGTTAGTTGATCTAGTAAATCTTAGTTTTTTCAAAATCGTATAGCTCTTCAAAAAAAGAAAAAAAACGTAGAAAAGATTAATCTATATATAATATAATATACCTATTATAGGCATGTATATATGTGGCATATTTGCAGGGGTGATATAACAACCCGTAGCTTTTTTTTTTTTAGATTCGTTCTTCTTTTTTTTATGTATTATACGGACCACTCTATGAGGCATAATAGTTAACCCTGTTAAGTAATTATATCTATTTCCAGAGGCGCAAACCAATTCGAATAACATGGGAGCAAAATATCAATTACCCACCCACTTTTGGAAAAAAAAAACTGCAAAACCAATAGTTATTAGCAATTTAAATTTTCTTAGAACAACTATTTTTAAAACGAAACAAAATTAAGAATTTCAAAAAAATTAAAAAATTTCATTTTGCGATTTTCCGGTTTTTATAAATATTTTAAACAATAATCTATAATTCCATCATAATACACAATTTTAAATTAATTTGGTAACCTAGTATATTATACTTATGTGTAGAAACCCATATAAATTAAATATCTTAATTTTTAAGTAGCTTACAGGGCCTTTTCAAAATTCTTGAAGTACTTATATTTTGGTATATATTTTTTAATCTTCACTGTAGTATAAATTTGTGTTAAATTATTTTGAATTATTTTCAGTTAATGTATTTATTTTTAAATTATAGTGAAAATGATATATTATAATAATGATAATCAATAATATATGTACAAATTAGTATTTAAATGAATAATCATGATATATATATTCCCATATCAACTAAACCAACAATCATAATTAAGCACTAGCAAAGATTAAAGTGTTTACTACATTTAATATATGGTACTACTAGACGGACACTGACGGATACAACGAGAATAAAGGAGTTCTAAACTTATATTTAGGAGCCTAAAACTTTATCGAATCAATAAAACGATGTCCAATTATTATTTTATTATAACTATATACTGCAGGAATATTGAAACAAGTAAATACATAAATATTATTATTTGAATCAATATCGCGATGTATTATTAAAATATTTCAAACTCAGTTTTAAGTAAATTTCAAATAAAATATCATTTTTTTTCAGATATACATTAAATTTCCCCTCTACCCTACCAACTTCTCACCTATAACAGTAGGCCACCCATCGTACAAAGTATGTCTGTGTTTTTTTTTTTATTTGGTTTGATATTGTGGTATAATCAACGCGTCTGTAGGTGATTGTTGGCATAGATATTATTATTTATCATAATATAGGAAGCGATAAATTATATAACTCGATAATAACATTGTTTTTCTTTAGTTCTCACGCTGATATCTGCGCACTATAAAAAAACGACGTTATAACTTTTAACAATCAAACAGTGAAGTTTATTGTGAGACATTATATATTATGGCAATATTTTGTACGCTAATTAATTAATACACGATTATATATAAGTCTTAATGCTTTTATATAATAATATTATAATCCTCATTATAATAAAACAAAGACTTAAAAAATAATACTCTGCTATTCACTATAAAAAATCCAGACATACTTCGCGCCTTGAGTAGGTCATTATGTTAGAGATCTAAGGTAATAATTTAATTTATATAATAATGAAAGCAATGATAAATCATTACAATCAAAAATTTATTTTTAGTGAAACTTAGTAAACTGACTAACTCAGAAGTTAACAAAAGTCAAATCAATGTATTGTCATTTTTTGTCAGTGTTCTTGAGTTTTTAGAAACACTGTTAGAAATCCTGAAAAATAATTGTTTGAATAAAGTAACACCAAAAAGAAATCCACCTATTTTATGTTATAGCTGTGAACAACTGAGCATTATTAAAAACACCGGAAAAGTGTTTACAAAATCCATCTAAAATTCAAATACAAATTGTTTTTAAATGTTCTTAAATGCCTAATGCACTTAAGTTTATTCACTCTAATATAATATATTTAGTGGATTTAAATGTAGTCCTGTATATAAAAATATCAATAATTATAAAAATAAAACCTTTATATTATTATACTTAGAGTGAATTTCAAAATTAATATTATAATAATATAATTTTGTGCCATAAATATTTGTAATACTATTAATACGACGTATTAATAACTAAGCAAAATATTTAACATTTTTTTTTTTTTAATATGGAAATATAAAATATTCGATTACAAATCGTATAAAATGATGGAATACGACTTAGTGTTCTTTGAAAATTCGGTAAATTATGCATAATATATTATTATAAGCGCATATAATTCGACTGCTCGGTGTCATATGTCTATAATATGATCAGATTTCATCCTGTATCTATAGGAGGTATGCTGAATATTAATTTTAATATGGTTATAAAATATTACGAAATCCGTATGAAATTCTACAACTATAGAGTATACTGCCATAAAGCATTGATTAAAACCTGTATTAAAATTGTTAGTACATTTTTTTTTTTTATTTTTTGAATCGTTATACTGATTCGTGTAAAGATTTTATTTTACACTTTACTCCAAATCTTCACGAAGATGATCGCCGGTTTATAGAATATAACCTATATAATATACCGATAAACTTAAAATTCAGATTGTGTTTTCCATTCACCTAATAAATTGATGACGTGACATCACTGACATAAAACTAAAAATTAAAATACGTAATAAATAAAATATAATACTCTTATACTAATCCGAAATATAAATTGTAACCAGTACTACTAGCCATTGTTAAATACCGAAAAAACTCAAACAGTGTTGGATGTATACGAGAACAACCTTTTTTACAATTGTTACCAAAATAACGTAATAAATAAAGAATAACAGTTGTAAAATGTTTCCTCAACAAACGCACGGATTTTGAACGATATTATAGTATTTATAAACTTTCGATTTCAGAAACTGAATAGATCACGTTTTGTACGCCTCTGGCGATTAATAATCGATCCGTGCAATTGCGTATTGTATATTATTATTATTTGACTTCTATAATAATATATAGTGTGGTGAGAAATACTGCAATAGTTCTATTACCTATAAGTGCAGTAGGTAAGTACTTATTATACACCTACGTGTGACTATAGATATAACTCGGTTGAAGAGTCGAATTTATCAGGAAAATCTCAGGGGCGTTTCTCTATAGAAATTCTCATGAATTATCGAATCACGAGTATAGGTACATATAACTAATTTAATAAATATATATTGTATATTGAGAAAATTATCCAATACTTAATACTTATACAGAGTGATCAATCTATCATAAGACACTCATTATCTCGAAAAGTTTTAACTCTTTTCGGAATTTGTTTTATAAACCTAACACAAAAGAAAAAAGCAGCTCTACAATTTTACATTTATGTTATTTTTTGTCGCTCTTATTTTGGGGGTAAAAACCACTACCTATCTTTGATTTTCAAATGTCAACCTATATTAAAAATTCCACAAATAGATGGAGTATTAATTAAAATAAATATTGGTGTGAATATTTTTGATTGCTTTCTATCCGTTAACGAGATATTCCATTTTAAAGTTTAGGTCAGGAGACAGTAGTTGAGCATTTATGTGGCGGCATGGCGTGAGGCGTTTTAATATTGCATTACAACTTTACCCCGATCTAACCCTAACTAATACACCATCTATTTAAGGACATTTTAAAATAGGTTGCCATTTGAAAATTAAAAATAAGTAATGGTAATAACCCCTGAAAATAAGGGTAACAAAAAAAAACATAAATGTTAAGTTGTAGAACTTCCATTGTTTATTAAATTTTATGTAAAACAAATTCCAATAAAGTTTAATAATTTCCGAGATAATGAATGTTTTAAGATAGATTGATCACTCTGTATACTCAATATTAGTATAATACATAAATATGCAGTGTTTTCACGAAAGAGAGGGGATATGGGTAATAAAGTAGATAGATTCTATCCTATGGCCTTTTTTTCGTGTCAAATAACAGGTATAGTTAGGCTATATTGTTATTATAATGATATTATACATAACTGATATTTAATAGTGATAATAAATTATTTTTGACTATTTATCATTTTCTATAATAATAAATAATAAATGTTATATTGTGTATAATAATTAATAACTTCTTGGAGAATCATCATCGGATTTCAAAATCAACTCGGGACTACGATAGGAAGATGCTTTATCCCCGACCCTATTTAACCTAAACCTGAAAAAGATTTTAAGAGAAATAGGCCACACACAACAAATAGAGGTGATTGTGAATGTGTCATTAGCGTACACGGATGATATAATCATTTTAGGTAATACAAGACAAGAGAAGTCCAGACAATGTCTAAACTTGGTGCATTTAACAAGTATAATGACTTATGTGGTAATGAGAAAAAAACAAACTGTATGGTCCTTTCCAAAAGAAACGAAGATAGGTCTGACTTTTATGTAGACAATTTAACGTTTGAAGTAGTAGACAACTTTAAATATCTGGGAGTGAACATAAATAATAAAAATGATATGCATCGAGAAATTAACGAAAGAATAATAAGCGAAAATAAGTACTAGCATAGTATCTATAAACTACTTAAGTCTAAAATATTGTCAAAAAAGTCAAAAACTTTGATTTACATAAGCTATCTGATACCAATAGGTTACCAATAGTTACCTATAGGTGGGAAACATTGTCCACAACAAAAGGAGACAACAATAAGCTTGCAATATTTGATAGAAAGGTATTCAGAAACATTTTTGGTGCAGTGTATAATATAAAACAAAGAATGTTTGAAAGAAGAAAAAATGAGTACTTTTACAAACTGTAATATGTAAAACCGAAAATACTGTCGTGCTTCAGGACAAAGTAGTTAGAAGGCATGATTTGGACACATATGGAAAGTCGAATACAATTTAATAAAAATAGTCCTTAACAGAACCAAAGACTAGACCACTAGGTAGACCACGAACGAGATGGAAGGATGTAGTAATGAAGGACATGCGAACAGTGGATAAAAATGCTTCATTGGAACTAGTATTTAATAGAGTGCAACTGAAAAGTTTGCTTATGGCAGCTCAGGTGCTATACAATTGTATTTTTTTTATGGTAATAGTATTGATTAAATATAATAAATAATCGTAGTCATTACGTGATAACATATTACGGCTGATTGTTTTTAAATGTGTAATCAAAAAATATTGATAAAAATACAGACTTAGAAATATTACCTAAAATAATATTTATATTAATTCAATTTTAGAATAATTACACATACAGAATGAAACAAAGACGAATAATTTTAATAATATTTTAAATGTACAAATCGATTTTAAAAAGAAAGGCAAGATAATGGGAACGGGCGCAGCCACTGGTGAAGTGAGAAGTTGGGAAGGTAGGATATAGACAGAAATTTAATGTATAACTATAAGTAAAGATAAACCATTGCTTACAAAATAACGATTCTGAGCAAAATTCAGTTGATAGTGATGCTTTGTCAACAATATATATGTTATTTTGTAGTAAAATAATTAAATAGGCTTTATATATTTTCTTTAATATAATTTGTTTAATGTTGTACCAATTTTCCCAATTTGCCTATGATTTTCTCAGGTTTCCAATATTTTAACGCAGTTTTTACATTTTCTGAGAAAACTCTTGAGAAAATCAAAAAATTACCCCTTTAAATACCTCGCTAGTGAAATTCCCTTTTGGAAATATTGCTATCATTAGAATCTAAAGCAAAATGCTGGTAGAAAAGTTATGCACAGAAAGAAAGAAGGCCGTAATATATTTCAACTAATACCTACATGTCATATTTTTCCATTTTTTTTTTTTTGGTTTATTAAATTTGATGAAAAAACTCTTAGAAAATCGAAAAATAAGTACCTCGATAGATAAATTTTTTTTTAGAAACATTGCTATCAACAAAAGTTGGAGCAATATTACTGGTAGAAAACTTGTGTACAGATAAAAATAAAAAAAATAATAAACACCTTTATAAAACTATAAGCTTCTTTACTCCACTCAGAATCTAAAATCTTAGAAACTTAATAGCTGAAGTAAGATGGCTGAGTATATCCTCCCCGAAATATAAATTTATCAGAACGCCATTAAATAGTACCTATAAGTATAATATACGTATATAGTATATGATCAAACTTGAAAAACAATGCATTTTTACACATAGGGTAAGTATGACAGCAACATACGATATATGGTCTAGACATCTTCATTTGTAATGGACTTCCTATTGTTTTACATTCCTAAACACGAATAAATAACAATAAATTAGTATTATTAGACTGCATTATCGTGGTTTAATGAACGACCAGCATTTATTTGTAATTTGATAACATTAGATTGCCATAAATAAGACGAAATATAAGTACAGAATATTATGCAGAATAGGTGCGTACGCGTAATAACGAGTTCAGTTACGGCTATTATAGGTCTACGTCAAAACGTTGACTAAATAAACACTAAACAATAATATTGCCAGATTTAGGTATAAACTATTAGTGCTGGGCAAAAATATCGATAATTCAATACGATATCGATATCGTGAAAAAATGTCGATATTAATATCATATCCTATATCAGGAATTATTTGTAGCTATGATAAATATTAAATAATAATATCTGTCGGCTGACAATAATAAATAATATTATTAAATAAATTATAATATTATATGTAATGTTAGGTATTATGTGGTTTCTTATGGTTCAAAATACTTATTTTTTCTGTTTGCCTGTATTCTTATATTCAATATTATATTTTTTTCACTGATAAAATACATTTGATATTTGAACAAGTTAGGTACCTATTAGTACCACTGGATATTTTGACTCACAGTGTAAATTGTGTCGTTGGTGACATAATTATATAAACGTTTGTTATTAAATATTTGAACACCCATTTTTTATAAAAAAAAAGTTTTAATTTAAAATTTCAAATATTTGAATTAATAAATTATAATTATTAATTCAATATTTATATTTATGTATATTTAAAAATAAAATATTTAAAATACCTAATAGTAATATTTGAAATAGTTTTAAAGTATTTTCGATATTTTCGATACGATATAGATATCGTACAATTCAAGATACCTTACGATATTGTGGTACAATATCGGGAAAATTGGAACGATATCGATACCCAAAATTATATCGTTACCCATCAGTATAAATTATATAAATAAACCAAAGTCTAATACTACTAATGGTGTGCCACTGATTTAAATAGGAAGTTAAAAAGGAGGATATATTATAAAAGCATAATAATTTAATTTATATTTGTCTTATTCTTCAAGTTCTTAATATCCCTTTCATGTTTTGGGTATCATATTGACAATGCTATCCCTGTCAAGTAATGCTCAAAATAAATCAATTGACGTTTTATTATATCAGTCAGAGAGATTCTTCAGCCAAGATTTTCGTCTTCTTCCCACACTTCTGTTTCCTTGTAATATAAGCTGGATCAGTTTGTATCTCTGATTATTTCTCGTGAAATGTTCCATTTATTCTAGCTCTCGATCTATTATTATTATTGAAAGTTCCTTCTCTTTTCCCAACCTTTACAATTTATATCTGTACGCAGTGATAAACGATTTTGAGCAGTCTTATTAGTCGTATTTTTTACCTTTATTGACAAAGTAATCCAAAAATCTACAAAATTACCAGTTGTTCCTATTATTTATAAGAACAACTAGCAATTTTTTTGTATAATTTGTTTTGATTTTTGGATGACTTTGTCAATAAAGGAAAAAAATACAACTAACAATTTTAGGTATGTCATGTTATTTTAATATCTATTTATATTTTAGAACTGATTTATTAATTAATGATTAACCGATCCATAAAAAAAAAATAATAATACCTTTCCTAGTATCCAATATATTTGAACATTCATTGTATTTAATTGGACATTATTTCGTTTTAGACTCGTAAATACGGAACTTGATAGGTTAGGTTAGGATATAACGCAATTATATAACTTGTTTATTTGTATATTATTAGAAACTTTATAAACTTTAAAAAAAAAATCTTGGAGTTACGTGTAACATTATTTAAAATAGTATGTAGAGTGCCTATAATACCTACCCGAGTTCAATTATTCAGTAAAGTAAACCGCGGCTAGGTTAGGTTAGATCTTCTCAAACTCTATTGTGAAGCTGAATCAGAAAGATTGCATTGTAAGTATGTCTGCCTACCTGATCTGGTTAATGTATCTAGAATGGCAATATGCATTAGTGTGGAACTATATGACTAGTCATGTTTTTTGTACATTTAACGGACATAATACGTATAGGAAAAAAATAGTGAATAGGTACATATTCTTTTTATATAGCAAAAAAAAGTATGAATGAGAAATACCAATAATATACACGTAAGTTTATGTATAATACCATTGTATTTCGTGATTAGTTTATTTTTTTTTTTACATAAAGAAAAAATACTATTATTTGACGAGTTCGTATTCATAAAACAAACATGCCTTTTGTATTTAATTGGACGTCATACCCATGTGATGCTGTCTCAGTCCAACTTACGCAGACTACGTAGAACTGACTTAATTTTAGATTAAGAGCAAAATCACATATTATAAAATTAAAAGAGGACCATTCTTCAGAGGTCAAGACGATACATTTTTCTTATTATTCTAAATATAACGTCCAATGCATTGTTTAGGAATAAAGACTAATTCATCGTTTTTAAATAACTGTAAAATTTAAAAAAATGAACTTAAAAAGGATGTCATAGGATAATGAAGACGGATGCAGCCACTGTTATAGATAATTTAATGTATACCTGTAAGCAACGATAAACCATTGTTTACGAAAAAACGATTCTAAACGGAGTTCAGTTGATAGTGATGCTTTAACAACAATATATATGTTATTTTATAGCAAAGAATTAAATAAGCTTTATATATTTTCTTTTATAATATTTGTTTAATGTTGTACCGATTTTCCCAGTTTTCCAACGTTTTTCCCGGTGTCTCGTGTTTTATTCCGGTTTTTCACATTTGCTGGGAAAACTCTTGGGAAATCGAAAAATTAACTTTTTAAAATACTTTGCTAGTGAAATTTCCTTTTAGAAACATTAGTATCATTAAACGTTAGAGCAAAATTTCTGGTAGAAAAGTTGTGCACAGAAAAAAGGTCGTAATATATTTTAATTAATACCTACATTTCTTATATTTTTCCGTTTTATTTTCAATTTTTTAAATTTGATGAGAAAACTCCTGAGAAAATCAAAAAATTACCCTCTTAAAGTTCCTCCCCTTGCCGATTTTCTTTCAGAAAAGGTGCTGCACGTAGAAATCCGAGTAAATCTTCTGGTAAAAAAGTTGTGCACAGATAAAACAGATAAAATAATCTTTGTAAAACTATAAGCTTCTTCACTCCACTCAGAATCTTAAAAGAAACACATCATCTTCCTCTCCAAATTTTATTTTAATTATATAATAAATGCTTTTACTCTAAAACGAAAATTAAGCGAATTCTACGCAGTCTACATAAGGTAAATTTTTCTATAATGCCCGTTAGTTGAACTGAGACAGCACATGCCAATATAACATAACATCTTCTTAATGTCTACATTTTATAGTCACGAATAGTAGAAATTAATCATCAATAAATTACCTCTCTCTCTCTTTCTCTCTCTCTCTCTCTCTGTCTTCTGTTGACATGTCTACTCTCTAAGAGTTTTTGCCGCCATTATTACATTTCGCCACCTATCTTTATCTTGAACTGCCTCCTTCCAATTCTCAACTTCAAAGGTTTTTATATATTCTTCCACCACATCAATCCATCGCGTCTACCATAAAATAATATGTCAATATAATTTAATGTAACCGTTTTTATTTTACAAATAATTTTTAAATGTCAATACATGCGGCCATGTATAGAATGTACATTCACTAAATACAATTTTCTTGTGTGTATTGTGTAAATATTATTTTTTAATTTCTAATCCAATATTTTAGAAAGTACTAAATGTTGTGAACGAATAAAATATGACTTAAACATTTTACATTGTACTTATAACACTCTTATAACTTTAATCATCATTAAAGATGAATAGCTGTTCAATAATATTAGAGTCGTGCCCATACAAAACTTCAACTATCTACCTACTTTAATCCTATTTTTTATACTATTGTTAAATATTACGGTTATCATTTAAATAGAAATATATTATTATTTGTCCGAGATTGTGTGGTCGTATTATCAGAGACGGAGACGGAATTTTATCATCGTAAAATAGTCAATGATGACTGAGCGAAAATGATTGACCAATATCGGTAGGTATATACAGATAGGTATACTCGAGACAAAAATATGTTACACTTACCTACATAACATATAATACATGAATAACAATCACATGAATTCGAAATCATTAGATCTTTAATCTGAAATAGTATATGCATTTTTCCTGTTAATAAACCACATAATATACAAATACACAATGATCGATATAGGGAAGTTATTTTTTTCGCATCCGTATTTAATAATTAAATACAAATTTAAAAAAGCAGAATTTAAAATAAAAAAATTGTTAGTTCAATATTGCAATTGAAAAATACGGTACGATACAATGGGAATAAAAATAAGTACATGACTCTAAAAATGCCGAATACACGTACTTAAAAATATTTTTTCAACTAAAATATTTTGTTTATTCAAATTTCGCTTCGATAAAATGTAAACTCGTCTGCGTTCAACTTGTCGATTTATTATTCAATTATTATAATTAAATTATTATATAGTAACATATATATTAAAATAACAATTATTATTATTGTATTTGTAACAATTGAAACCGCTCCTACTTATAGATGATAAAATAAATGAATAGTTTTTTTACTGTGAAATTATTTATTGATTTAATTTTTTCTATCGTATCATGAATTAGTAAAATAACGGTGTTTTTTTAAATTAAAACTTGTGTCCATCATCATTTTTTTCTTCAATTTAATTAAATTATTATATATATATATATGTATGTATAATAGTTAATAATATTATGTAACCTTCATGAATTATATGAAATACAAGCTAACTGATAGTGTTTAGAGGTATCTATAGATATAGTACGCATTATTAAAGTATTATAGTCTATAGATAGACAATCGAGCACATAATATTGTATTATACTATGCAGAGCAGTTACATCAGAATAATTTCCAGTCCATTCAAAACATTTCGAGAATCGTAAACAACAAAATTTAAGTACGAACACTATAATATAGGAATATTGTTTATAGAGTATAATATGATGCAATACAATATTATGAAGTTCAAATTTATCACAAGAGTGGAGTCACCATCTACGACCATCTTAAGAATTTTTCTTACTCATCACTATTATTTTGATCACGGTTATCGCAATTAATTGAAAATGTAACCATGTACGAGTATACTTGGTTAATATTTCATAGACTTATAAGAAATACTGTATGAGATCAATTTTTAGTTTTTCAAAATTTCATTTTCTGTGGCCATACTGTTATCTATATATTTTTAATAATTGATACCATCTAGTAAATAAGTTAATATAGATAGATTCAACAATGACCATAATATGGAGTATCGAATAACAAATAAAATACAATTAAGTAGCCAAAACAAGGTTGCTGGACATAGGAGATGACTTAACTCTATATATTTTATTCTGCGTTTATACAGGTAAATTGAAGAAACAAAAATAAAACATTTACGGACATACTTCGTATGATGGTGAGTCACTGTTGTAGATGAGAAGTTGGAAAGGTAGAAAGGAAATTTAATGTATATCTATACGTACGTATCTATATATACGTAACAATTAATTATTTCTACCGAAAAACGATTCTGAGCAGAGTAGGGTTATTAATGTTGTTTTGTCATATATATATATATATACACATACAATAAGTCATATTATGGTAAAATAATTACTTATATAAATAACACAAGAATTATATATTTCAATATTTTACCTATTATTCAATTTTTCCTATGTTTTTCCCGGTTTTTCCTATTTACTATCAAAACAGCTGGAAATTAAAAAATGACCACCTTAGAGTACCATTCTATTTAGATTTCATTTTAGAAGAAGTGCTACACTAGAAAATCTAAGCAAAATGTTTAATAAAAAAGTTCAGATAAAAAAAAAAAAAAATAAACATCATTATAAAACCAATACATTCCTCCGCTCAGAATCTAAAAGTTGTCATAATTATTTAGAAGTAAATATGCCTATCGAGAAATCGGACATTTTACCAAGTTCTTCGTGTGGACTGCTATATTATTATGTAATTTATAAAATAAAGAAAATCAGGATTGTTTATTATTAAATATTTTTGGATAAAATCGTCAAACTCAAAATGAACCAACAGAAAAAATATAGCAACAGTTCTTTTTTAAAATGGTTTTTTTTTTTTTATTAATACTAAAAGTCCGAATTAGAACTGGGGAATTCTGAATTAAAGCTTGAAGAAGGTTTAGCACCTCCAAGTGTACCTCTTATGTCTAATATGGTGGTTTGTTTCGTAAGTGTGCCCCTGTGCACGTATAATTTATTCCTAAATTATATCTCATAAGTCATAAGTGATATGAAATAAATAACATATTTAAACAATAAGGTAGTCATAAACTTGATACACATCGAAGAGCATTCAATATAAGTATGTGCTGTATTTAATTCACTTGTCCCAAGCACATTCGTACTTTGCCCTGTCAATGTAGGGAAAATTATTGGAGTATTAAAATGATCATTTTTACATTTTCCAAAATGTTCGGGCATTGTGCGCCGTGCACATATACCTATACTACAAACGATGTCTTTGTTATAATTATAATTATTCGACACGACAGTATTATATTCTATTAAATTTTATTTAATCATTCGTTTCTACCGTGCGTGTATTGTATACGACCGTTTGTTAGTTAAAGTTTCAAAAGTTATTCGAGTGTATTCGCAAAACGAAACAATAACCATTTTGCTGCAGACGACCGTGATGATGTCTAAATTACCGTTTTATTAATTTTATTACATCTCACACAAAATAAAAATTATACTTAAAAACTATAGGGTCTCTATATTACAATTTTATGCTGTAAACACTAAAATAATTAAAATAATAATTAATTTTAATATTATGATGACTATAAACAAAAATGCAAATGATTTAAAATGTATATCAACACCTATTAGGTTAGGTTAGGTTTGCTAATATTTCTACATTAAAAGTTAAACAGCAACTTCTATATAGTTTTAAATATTACTTTTTTGATATAATTCAATGAGTTTAAAAAAAAATGATACTGATGAATGACAAGCCACTCGTGTAAGTGAGTAGTTGGTAAGATAGGATATATAAAATTATATAGTTTATACTTCCAATAGTATCCAACGTTATACCATTGCTAATAAAAAACAATTCAAAGTAATTCTATGTATGCTTTGAAAGGCAGTAATATTTACGATTTTCGTCAAAACTTGATTCATCAATTCTAATAAAAAAAAGATATGTCCTAGAATAATAAATACGCGTGCAGCCACTGTTATAGGTAATTTAATGTATATCGGTAAGCAACGATAAACCATTACTACCGGAAAAACGATATTGAGCACAGTTCAATTGATAGTATATATATATATATGTCATATTATGGTAAAATAATTAAACAAGCATTATATATTTTCTTTAATAATATATGTTTAATGTTGTACCGATTTTTCCTAAGTTTTACCCGGTTTTTTCACATTTACTGGGAAAACTCCTGGAAAAATTTAAGAATGACCTCCTCAAAGTACTCCCTTAGTCAGATTTCCTTTCAGAAAAGTGCCATATTTTTTAATTGGTGCAAAATCGTTAGTAGAAAATGTATACAGGCTATAATATTTGTTTACTAATGCATACATTTCGTACATTTTCCGTTTTTAAGACATTTTATCCTGGTTTTTCTCAGATATTATGAAAACCGCTTGAAACATCAAAAATTTATCTCCCTAAATTACTATGGAAGTAAAATTTGTTTTCAAAAAATAAGCTATACTTGATACATCAGAGCAACATTTCTGGTAGAAAAATTTCCACAACAAATCGAGGGGCATTTTGCGATTAAAATAGTCCGAGCGAGCGATGACTGGGTCTCTACTTCTCTGTAGGTACACCCAAAATGTTTTTGTTTTTAGTTGTTTGGGTAAAAGGAAAAAATAAATGCAAAACAATTTTTTCCAAACACAGGTTTGAAATCGTGAACCCTAGGACGATAAGAAGAATATTCACAATAATATAAGAATAATATAATAATATAAGAACTTCAAAAAACTATAATTTCGAAACTTAATAAATCCGCTCAATTCTGACTTCACAATCATTTTTAAATCGGTACAAAAACATTTATTAAAAAAAATAATAATAAAAAAATTTGATTTGTTCCACATAATTTTAATTCAATAATTTTTATTATAATATGATATTAAAATTCCTTTATAAAAAAAAATACTACATTAAACTTAATTTTTTTATTTTTACAACAAAGTAAGGCTCTTAATGAACCTCCAGTTAAATTTTCATACATTTTTGTTAATTTTAACAATTTAACCACTAAGTACCTACCAAATAAATTTACGGACAAAACACGCAAAATTAAAATGTCTATAAATAGTTTAAAAATGGCTTAAATTTTTTAAAAATTTAGAAAATTTTTAAACAAGACAAATATGAGTTTTCTGCCCAAATTTCAAGTCTCTGCAAATATTTTTAACTGACTTACAACAAATAACAAAATTTAAGTAATAATAAATCATTATTTTCGTCAATTTTCCGTTTTCTTATTTTTTTTATCCTGTTTTTTTTCCAGATATTATAAAAAACCGCCTGGAAAATCAAAAATGACCTCCCTAAAGTACAATCTGGACAATATTTCCTTTTCGAAATGGTGCTACACCCACATATCGGAACAAGGTTACAGGTAAAGTTTTTGAATGCAGGATAAAAAATAAAAAAATAAAATATATCTTTGTAAAACTAATAAATTCTTCGCTACACTCAGAATCTAAAACTAAATTTAACTCAAATTTTTATTAATGACCACTAAATACAACTTATAGTTAACCTACTGTTAAATTTCCAAGCACTCCTGTTTAGTCTAACAATTTTTTTCACAGAGTACATACTGAGTAAATATTATGTGAAAAACTGGTAAAATTGTCTATAAATAGCTCAATGATTACTCAAATATTTTGAAAATTTAACCACGTCTAGAAAAAACAAATAGAAATTTTCTGACAAAAATTTAAGTGTCTACGAATATGTTTAACTTAATCATAACAAAATAACAAAATTGAAAACAATAAAAATAAATTTTCTCTTTTTTTCTACGTATTTTTTTTGGTTCTCCTTCGTGAGTATTTAGATACAAAATTACTACAGGAAAGTTCTCTTTTTATTGTTTGATTGAAGCAAGATGTCTAATAGAAAATATAATTTACACAAATGTAAAATCATGAAATCGTTACGCCATGCCGTAAATATTTATCCCTACGTTTTTCCTACGTTTTTTCCCGATGTTTCTCAATTATTATGAAAACCTCTTAAAAAATCAAAAAATGACCTTCATAAAGTATCAACTAGTTTAAGTTTCCTTTTTTAAAAGGTGTTACATTTAATATATAAGAACATGATTTCTCAAGTTTCTTCGGTTTTGCTCAATTATTTAATTAATTGTTAAATAAAATGATAAGTATGCATATTATTATAACTGCTTGGAAATATTTCACGATCTGCGTGATATACAGTCAAATTATTGAAGGATAAATACATTAAAAAAACATGCAATATGTAATAATGTATAACATATACATTGTACATATTATTATAATTATGCATGGAAAGTGATATTATTTTCTTATATATACTTATAATAAGAGTAAAATCGATCTCGTGAAAAATAAAATTGTACTTTGGTATTTTCTAGTCGTGCGAACGAATTCGATACACACAAGGCCTTTAGAGATCGTTTTTTATTCTTATTTTAGGTTTTTTTTTTTTTGTATCCTAATTGTATTCTATTTTGGCTATAGATAATCGTGACAATCTAAGGGGCAATGAAAATGATATAGAGAGTATTTTTGTACCAAAAAATCGGTAGGTGCCATCAAGGTACCGGAATCGAATGTGTTTCCCTGTTTTATAATGATGTAGCTTATATTTTCGATTGCCCCTCCCCTTCGTAGTATTATTTTGTATTCAGCAACCGTTATTTCCGTCCCCCACACCGCTCTCGACACTTGTTCAATTCCAATCAAACTCGCAATGATATTTTGTGCGTGCGGTCTCGGCACGTTTTTTTTCATACCCATCACCACCTCTTCTTTTACCTACTCCTTCTCCTTTTTGCTTCTCTCGGGGCCAATATCATTTCGTATAGTTTGGCCTGTTTATACGCGATACGGCCACCGGACAAGTGAACCGAGGAATCCTTTGCTGCTACACTATCGTCGTCTTTTATATTATTATACACTAAAGACCCCGGCGTCGTATTTATCCGTAGGGGATTTTTAACCAACTCTAAATGTATAGTCGTGCCACACGTCTTGTATATATCATTCAAATAAATTAAACGCTTTCATGAAATGAAAGGGATTGCTATTTTTTCGCTTCTTTTTTATCCTATATTATTTTCATATAATATGATGGTCACCTCTAGATGTTGCAACAAAGTAAGTCACAGTGATCAATATTATAATACTTGTAGGTAGTAATGTTATAATAATATAATATTGGACAATCCTTTAAGAACAAAAAATAAACTGTATAAAAAAATTATAAATAAAAAATCCAAAATAAATAAAATTCTATAGATACTTTTGTTCTTTCATCGTAGGGAAGAAAGACTATGTAATTTTGCCTATTGTCCCCTTTTTTTATGTAACTTACATTCAAACATATACTGAAAATCAAAATACCTTAAGTCATCATGATGTATTTTCGGTTTGACAAAAAATTATTAACCCATTTAGCAATTCAACATTTTATTTTATTGTATTAAAAATTTTACACAACTAATTTGAATAACTTTTCTTCTTTAAAACCAAAAATATATTCATATTTAATAAATATCTATAATATTGGTTGTCAAAATAAAAAAAACATTAGTAATTAATTATTCAGATACTCGTCTAGTAAAATTTGTTTTTATTTTTGTGTTTCTTAATTACTTTCTTATAATTCTTTTTTTAGATACTGAGTAAACCGAGGAATGTATTGGTTTTATAATGATGTTTATTTTTTTTCTTTATGTTGTAGTTATAAATTTTACCTGAAATCTTGTTCTTATTTTCAAGTATAGCACCTTTTTTAAAAATGAATATTCCTGTTGTGGTACATTAACAAAATTATTTTTTATTTCCCATGTAGTGTTCAAAATAATTAAGAATAATCGGGAAAACCAGGAAAATCTACGAAAATAATACTTTTATTATTTTTAATTTTGTTTTTTTATTGTAATACAGTTAAAAATTATCGTATAGACATTTAGACAGAAAACTTATATTTTAGACGCGATAAAATTTTAAATATATTTGAGTTTTTTTTTTTTGAGCTATGTATAGACATTTTAACTGTGCGAGATTTTACATAATTTTTGTTCAGAAGGTAGGTACTCTATACATAGATACAATTGTTTAATTAAACTGAAATGCTTAAAAATTTAACAGGAGGCTCATTACAAGTTGAATTTAATGATCAATAAGAATAAGTTGAATTTAATGCAGTTTTTTTTTGTAAAAATTTTCTAATATCAAATTTTGATAAACATCGTAAGCATGTCTTGTCTTTCAAATACAACTGAACTCTGCTCAGAATCGTTTTTCGTTGGCAAAGATTAATTATTGCCTACAAAAATATATTAAATTCTTCTCTATATCCTACCTTTTCAACTTCTCACCTACAATAGTGGCCTACCCATTTAGCGAAATATATCCATATTTTTTTTATTTTTTTTATAATTATTATTAATAATAATACATTAAAATTTCACTAAATACAAGAAAATATTTTCAATTAAAATCATCGACAACTGGTCATCTCAAAACTAGTAAATCCAGTACTATTAAAATACATAATATATACGCGTATCAACAAAATGGAGAGTTCATTGAATATCTATTTAATCTGTATGATATTTAAACTCTTACTCATGTTTCCTAATAATTACCAAAACCAGGAAAAAACGTAGAAAATAAAGCGAAGTTTACATTTTGGTTATTTATTATTAGGTTAAAAATTATTTTAGAGATGTGTAGATTTCACAAAATAGTACAATCTTCAAATCATTCTCGAAATTATTATATTATTTATAGGTATTTAATATTTTTTTATATTATATTTTGTAGATATCTGTTATTATTAAAATTATATGACTTGTAAAATATGCTTGAAAATTTAAAACAAGGAGCACTTTAAGTTGTACGTTATAGTGGTGTAAAAAACAGACATATTTCGCACGATGGGTGCAGCCACTGTTGTTGTTGAGAAGTTAGGAAGATGGGATACAAAGAGAATATTAACTTGTATCTATAAGCAATGGTAAACCATTGCCAACGAAAAGAAAATTCTGAGCGGAGTTCAGCAGATAGTGATTCTTTGTCAACAATATATATGTCATATTACGGTAAAATAATTACATAGGCATTATATATTTTCTTTAATACGATTTGTTTAATATTGTACCGATTTTTTCGTTTTCCTGCGTTTTTCCTGGTTTTTAACATTTGCTGGGAAAACTCTTGAAAAAATAGGAAAATGATCTCCCTAAACCTAAAGTACATTCCCAGTCAGATTTCCTTTCAGAAAAAGTGCTATCATTGTATTTCACTAATATATTTCGTACATTTTCCCGTTTTTTTTCATTTTCCTTTACCACCGGTAAAATCAAAAATAACATCCTTAGTAAAGTAGTAAAAGTACCACCCCAAAAAAATTTCCTTTCGAGAAAGGGTTTACATTGTGTAGGTCGGATTAAGCTGTCTGGTAGAAAAAATGTTTACATAAAAAAAAATAATAATAATAAACACTCAGAATCTAAAAACAAAATTAATATTAATGCATTAGTTTTTTTTTCATAAGCGTTTTAAGATTACATTTCGACGAAATTAATTTGGTTTTTTCAAACTTTGCTTTGAATCGCTTTTTTATTATCGATGGTTTATCGTTCCTTACAGGTATAAGTTATATGTACTACGTTACCGATTTCCAACCTTAACAGTGGAGCACTCGTCTTTAGTATCAATTATTTTTTTTTTTCGTTAACAAACATATAAACTTCATTGGAATGTAAATAAAAATAACTTAATTTTAACACATAAACATTAAATTACATAATTATCTATTATAGTGTAGTAATTCGAAAATAAGGGCGGGGAGTGCCTAGTTGTGTAAAATCGATTTACACGTATAAATTAATTATAAATTTGATTACCTTTCNCATTACATAATATTTTATTTTACATAATGTATGATAGCTTAAATAGCATATCATTACAATAGGAAGAGCTGATTGAACACTATTAAAAAATATTATTAATACCTACATAATTTTTTTTTTTTTTGGTTTTTATTGAATAACTATGTACTAAATACCTATTTATTTTTAAAACATCAATTTGTTTTTTAGGTACTTGGATCTCGACAAGTTCAACAAACTTTAATGCTTAAATAAATATTGATTATTTTAGGTCTTACATCAATATTAATATCCAATGCAATAAAAAGTTTTTCGATTTACGGTTTAATTTAACATTACACTTTGTGTGCTACAGCAAGTCGGTTTATTCAATTTAATTAAAACTTTTACATAATTTTTAAACATGTTTGATTCTCGTTCGAAAACTTGAAACCATATTATAGATTTAAATTGATATCAACATCGTTATTGTTTTAATATAGCGATCGTTTTACATCTCTTTAATTTATCGTCTAACCTATAGAATTTATTTTTGTACCAATACATATTTTGTAGAATCAAACATGATAAATAATGGTAATTATTCACTTTTTTTAAAAAACATGATTACCGAAATAAATAAATACTTCCACGGCTGTGCCTGAGGAGGATTTGAGAAGTTCATCCCCTCTCTCGACATTTTTCATGTTATAATATGCTATATCAAATTTTTTTTACTATATTATAATAAAATTAGAACACCATATACACATTTTTAGTTTACAACTTACCCTCCCACCCTCGAAATTTTTTTCCAGATATATTACCCCTTTTTAATATAATTATTTATGTATTTACTATTTATTATACAATTATTTATTTAAATTAGTTCCAAAAATTGTTTGATTTATAAAATTTAAACAATCCAATAAGATTTTATTTTATTTTTAATTTAAGATTTTATTACAGTGTCTATAGATTAATTTTACTGTTCATAAAAAGAAAATTTCATAAAGACTATCATAAATAACTGTAGCTAAGGTATTTGTAAAATCTACTACTACAACTACTTTCTTGTTAACGGAAAAATATATCCAGTATTATACCAACTAAAAATAATTATAAAGTTAAATGTAGGAGAGGTATCTATCTATTTATTTATGTTCATTACAATAGTATTCAATAAAATACCAACTAAAGGTAGATAAGTAGGTAATTTTAAGTCTTAAAAATAATAATAAAAATGTCTCATATGACAAATAAAAACTCTACGGTAAATTCAATTAATTAATGGCATAATTTTTTGTAAAACCAAAAATACATCATAGTGACTCAAGGGATTTAATGTTGAAAAATAATATTGAATCGTTTTCAAATAATAATCATTTAATATTATAATTACATTAAACAACCGTTAGACGACAGTGATCAAATCGATTTGCAGTTATTCACTTTAATACAAATTAAACATTCTTTGTTTTCAAACGATTGTTTTCTGTTTTAGTAGCTACGTAGTTATATACAGTTTAATTGAAAGTAAGTTGCTCGTTGTCAAACAGAAGAATCTACCGTAAAACCTAAAACGATAATATATAAATATAAATAAAGACTTCCAATACTTAATTTGACTTAGTCGCCATAATCTTATTATTCCAATAAACAATTTTATTAAGGTAAGAAACAATACTATTATTCCTATAGACGTTCAGACGTAATAATATAGTTTTATCTTTAAATTTTAATACTACATTATTTTTGAAACGACACATATCGTTAAAACTTATAATAACTTTTATTATACTTACACGCTTTCAATCTCTGACATATTTAACACTATGTAGTAATATAAAATCTTTAAGATTAGTAGCGATCGAGATAACGTTACATAAACATGCCCTACAATTCTCCAAGAACACCTTTTGATGTATATTATTATTATAACGAAAAAAATTCGATCATCAAAATGCAGAGTGGTATAATTCGTAATAACAGGATAATAGTATCAGTCATTATTAATAAAAACATAATATATTATAGAAAACATTATGACTTCTGCACGCAGTATAATTACAATTAGCATACCTCCTTATTTTCGACCTATACATTGTTTAATTCGCAATGTATATATATATTACATTTATTCTTTTATTTTCATACCTTATACTCAAATATCTCATTAATTTTATTTCAATATAATACTATCTAATATCGGCGAACAAAAATAAATATCTTTATTAATATATTGCTTTTTCAAATATAATTTATTTTCTTTCAATCGAAATATAATTGTTAATAACGACAAACAGCAAAATTTATATTATATATTATACCAAATCAAATAAATGCTAAATATAAGTTGGAATCTTAAGTTTGTTACGATAATGATCGCAAATAAAGAAAGGATAGTATATTACCTATACTATAAAGTATAGGTACTTAAATCGAGTGAAGTTGTACTTGCGTTTATAATAGGATTTGAAACTTGTACCATAAACCTACAATGTTATAAATTTCCTTCAATGACCTTTTAGGTACTTGGTTTATTATAAAATCAATAAAATACATACTTTAATATTAGATTAAATGCACAATAATAATAATAAAAAAAAAATAGTTAACTGTGTTCTAGTTATTATCAATGATAATTGCAGTCAGATTCTATAATATTAAACAAACTTTTGAGTTTATTTAGCGGTCAGCAAGAAAAAGATGAGTTTAATGTAGTATTTTCGTTTTTTTATATACAAATTCTAATATCAAATTTTAACGAAACGTGTAAATATTACGGCCTTTTAAAATATGTATAATCTAACTTCACTCAGAATCATTTTTCGGTAGCAATGTTTAATAATTGCATACGAAAATATATTAAATTATCCTCTATTTCCTATCTTCTCAACTTTTCTCCTAAAACAGCGGTCGATCTATGTATCGTGCGAATTATGTCCGGTTTTTATCTTTCATTCATTCAAGGATCAAGTTTAAATTCGAAAATAAAATAATTAATAATAAGCCATATATGTGTTGTTGATCTGTAAAACGTATATGGCAATTTCAATGTTTTATCAGAAAAAATATTGGTAACATTGCAAAATACGCGAGTAAAATATACATTTTATAACATGTTATTATACATAATATATAATATTTCAAAGATATCTTTTGTAACGAATTCCAAAGGGAACAATGTGTTTTGCTTTCAATAATTCCATCATTATTTACTTGTAGCGTGTTTGCATATTCCAAAACAAATGTACCATACAGCAGCCGTATATCTCAATATAATATGAGAATGAACTCGGGGGATCGTACAAACGGAACGAGTGGAAAAATCACGTTTACCTTGGAGGCATAATATTACTGTGTATGGGCGTGTGTGTACATGTGTCCTTGCTGAAAGTCACAAGGGGAAAGCATCCATAAATCTAGATGACATTTTCGTTCGCATTTTTGGCTTTTAGACAATTGGGGGAAATAAGAAAAGTATAAAGAAAACGCTCTTTTCTTTTTTTAAAGTTTCGCATTATTTTCCAGATACGTATGCATGCTATCGATCGCTCGACTTCCGAACGAACAAATTATTACATTAGTCCGTTCATTTGCAGCCATATAATATCGATTATCAAAAGATTAAATGCAAAATCAAAAAAATAAAAATAACATCTTTGGATATATTAGTGCTATCCGATTATAATCAAAGTGAATAAACGTGTTGAATTTTATGTCAATACATGGGAAAGTGAAAATTTTAGAAAAATAGCCAATTTAAAATACAATCCATTTAAAATAATCTATTTCTTTTCAAAAAATTTAAACGATTTTTGTAGTTCAAAAAAAACTCTTCCGAGAAAAATAAATTGTTCGAGTTATCTTAGTAAAATAGTTCGAAGCAAAACAATTCGACTAACACTACTTATACAACTCATAATCGTTATTTACACCTATAACCATATTAATAGAATGATTTACCGGTTACTCAATTAGACAAGGCCTGATTAATCAATAAGCTAAAAATCTGTAGCCTGGAGCGCCGTCAAATAGAGGGGATGCGCGCAAAACAATTTTTAATTGATTTCTTTCAAACTTGTATCTCTAATTTTTACTCTAAAAATGTTAATTCATTTTTTCCACTCAAAATAATATAAAACATATTTTCCCCCCAAATTCACACTTATTGTGTTGTTCTACATACAATTATAAAATAATTCCCCTCCCCCTCCCTCGTTACTAGTAATAATTCAAAATTTAACACCATAGACCCAACTTTTCCCTTATTACTTCCTTTTTGAAGGTTAATACTAAAAACTACACAATATTTATATAATAATATTTGTAATAAACCACCCAATGTTTCACGCACATATATAATCGCATCAAATCGCTCTACACGCATTATTTTCATAAAATATGTGCACACTTTTCAGAATACTATTTTTCTAGATTCCCAACAGTTTCTCTAAATAAAACAAATTAATAATAACTGGCAACAAGTGTCGATACGTCAATTTTATTTTTTGACGATTTCCGGGTTACCTTTCCTACAGACGAAAAAAAATATTACTAATACTTTAATCTTACCGGTTTGCCGATGATCTCCATTTAGAATCATTTCAATTTTCGTTGCTTTCAGTATGTAAATTAACTACTTTAACTTACTATATAAACATAATATATTACAACATTAAAGTGTTATACCAAAACATTTCTCATAAAATCATTTGTAGATATTAAATAAGTGCATTAGATTATAATATAATACCTAGGTTATATATAACCTTACCTACCTATTATATATTATTGAGGATACAAGTGAAATCAGCTAGTCAAAAAAAGTTATCCCATTGTTCCCATAATTGAATATATTCCAATTTCGCCTACAAACTTTCTCACTATACACAATTATAAAAATGATTGCTATTTGGAAATATGTATTAATGAAAATCAAAATATATTATTCAAGTAGTTGTACGCAATTCATAAAATTAACAAAGTAATAATCGTATTTAATTACCAATATATTATATAGCAATTCCCAACTCTAAAATAATAAAAAGTGAAAGGTGAACAAAACTGTTTAAATTCGTTTTTAGACTGAAACTTATTTACGGGCAATATATTGCACAAATGTTTTAATCGAAATCTATTATATTATATTGCTGTTATCAAATGGAAGTATAAGAGTCCCAAGTATCCCCAAGGCTACCAGCCTTTTATCATTTATAAGCCAGTCACCAGAATATTATTATCGTTATAATTTCACAAGCAATGTGCAGTACTGACATAAGCTTCACTAGTAATGTCTACCATGAATCTCATTATTCATCAAACATATAGGTACGATAATCGTATAACCATATGTTATATTTACATTTAAATTATTGTGAAATTATTAGTTTAAATAAGAATAACATATAATAAAATAATAAAGTAAAAACAAAATTATTAAAATAGTGAACATTCGTAAATAAATATATAAATAAAAAATAAATAAATGAATAAATGCGTCGCCAGGAGTATTATGATAAGTGTATCAATAATTTATCAATAATTATATTTATTGACTTAATATTTTCTAGTACTTCGTTTGTATTAAATGTATTGTAACGTATAAGTTTATTTTAAAAAGAAATTACTATTTCGTGTTTAAGAATGGATGTATGTACATTTTTAACGTAATGATAAATCATTTTGTAGCCTGGCACAATATTAATTTAGTTAATTTTATCAATAAAATCATAAGTGTTTTTTATAGAAGTATCAGTATTCATGTTTAAATTTTCTTTTATAAGAGAGTCTAAATATTTAATAAGGTAATAAGCAAGAGCAGTTTTAAAGTCAATTAATGGACGAATCGGATTATCTTGTTTATATAATTTTGTGAATGTATTTAAGTGTATGAGCCTAGGCTCGTAGAGCCTCTATTTTTTAATCAGATTTTAATAATATTTTCTTTTGGACTTTAGGTCTGATTTCTTTCGAATATGTTATCAATTTATTAATTTGTTTAGTGTAAATTATAGTTGGGTGATATGTTAAGTTTTAAATATTATTATTATTTATAGAATCTAATTTTTTTTAAGAATTTCATTGGTATAAATGATAACAATAGTGTTAGATTTATCTACCGGAACTATTTCTGAATTGTTTGTTTTTAATTTATCCACTATCTTATTAATAATTGTATTCTTTTGTTTAAATATACTATTTTGTTTTAATAATTTATCAGGCTTATTTTTGTAGTTCGGTTAGGTTAGATTCTGAGTGGAGCGAAGAAGCTTATGGTTTAACAAAGATGTTTATTTTTTTATTTTTTTTATTTTTTTTATTTGTTAACGATTTTTCTACCAGAAGACTTGCTCAAATTTCTACGTGAAACATCTTTTCTAAAAGTAAATCAGTGTGGGGAGGTCTTTTCGATTTTCTCAAGAGTTTCCTCATTAAATACAAAAACCGAAAAAAGAACGGGAAATGTACGAATATACTAAATATAAATTACAATTTTTTTTTCTGTGAACAACTTTTCTACCAGCAATTTTGCTCCAACGTTAAATAATAACAATGTTTCTAAAAGTAAATTTCATTGAGGAGGTACTTTAGAGAGGTAATTTTTCGTTTTTTAGGAGTTTTTTTAATTGATTGAAAGTTTAATGTTTGATAAATATGTATTGAATTTACTACCTTTATTTAATAAATTGTTTTCAGCTTTATTGAAAATTATGGAAATTAAACTAGTAATTCGTGGTTGAAAAGAATGTTAGTTTTTAAGTTGCAATTTTTGTGTATTTTGTGCTCATAAAATATTAATGTTATCATTAACCCTACGCCATATCTCACCTAACCCATTTATTTATTTATTTTTTTATTTTTATACATACATTTTTTATTTATTTATTTTATAGTAAATAAATATATATTTACTTTGTTTAATAATAATATGTAATCAATCGTTCATCGTTCGTTTCTTTCAATTGAGTATTAATATATTTGTTTAACACAAGGTATCGTCGTTATTATAAATTTCATACATTTAAAAAAAAAAAACGAAAAAAAAATTGTTTTATTACCGAAAAAAATTATTCGCTCATATTTAAGAGATGAAATAAAATTACTAAATATTTGTTATATTATATTTTGTCATTCGGAAATCTAAACAGAGCAGTTAAAAAAAATACTATAAAATATAACCTCAATAATTTAAAAACGGACATAAAGTTATTTAATTTATATTTGTAAGTAAAAATAAATCTTTACCAATGAAACACGATTCTGAGCCAGAGTTTAGTTATATATAGTTTGAAAGGTTAGGTTAGGTTATTTAATTATAAAATGCTTATAAAATAAAAATACTACGTTAATTCAACTTTTTCTTACTGACCACTAAGTACAACTTATAATGAACCCCCAGCTAAATTTTCAAGCACTTTTGTTGGTCTAACGATTTTTTCCACAAAGTACCTATACCGAATAAATATTATGTACAAAACTCGCAAAATTAAAATATCTATAAATAGTTCAAAAATAAATCAAATGTTTTAAAAATTTTACCACGTCTATAAAAGACAATTATAAGTTTTCTGTCAAAGTACCTACGAATATTTTCAACTGAATCATAACAAAAAAACAAAATTGAAAATAATAAAAGTAAATTTTCCCGTTCCTTCAACTCCGTCTTTTTTAGTTCTTCTCAATTATAATGAAAACCACTTAAAAAATCAAAAACCGACTTTCTTTGTGAGTATCTAATTCCGAAATTCGACAAAAAACGTTATATTTTTATTGTTTGATTAAAGTGAGGTGTCTAATAGAAAACATAGTTTACAAAAATGTAAAATCAAGAAATCGTTATGCCATAAATATTTGTTCATCCCTACGTTTTTCCTACGTTTTTTCCCAGTGTTTCTCAATTATTAAGAAACTCACTTAGAAAATTAAAAAATGACCTTCGTAAAGTACCAACTAGATTAAATTTCCTTTATGAAAATAAGGTGCTACATTTGATACATAGGTACAAGATTTCTGAAAGATATTTTGTGCACAGTATAAATAAAAATTAAAACAAAATATCATTATAAAACTAACATATTCTTCAATTCACTTGAAATCTAAAAAAACGTTTGTTTGATTTACGATTTGAGATACGTAAAATTTGACGCCATCGTTTTTTGTTTTTTTTTTTTTTGGAAATAACCCAAAAAAAAAAATCGTGAAATTGCATCATGAAAATGGAATGGGTAAGAAATAAAAGTTGAAACCCCCAAAAGGTACATCATTAATGCTAACGCTATATACCATTTTCCAGGTTTCTGGTTTCAATCAGTGTAAAATACTAAAAAAAATAATGAATAAGTTAATATTGAATTTCAACCGAACTTATATCACTTCAATCTACCTACAAAACAATTGTAGTTCCCGAATTTTCTCCAAAGCCACTATAAATATTCAAAATTAGCTGAAAAAAGATATATACAATGCGAAAGTCGGGGAAAATAAAAAAAAATAAAATTATTATCTTTATTTGTCTATAATATTAACAGTAGAATTAAAACTATAATAATTCAATAAATATGAAACATAAATAAATAAATTTTAATTAAAATATTACATGCTGCAATAATATAAAGTTTCTTTAAAACTAAATTAATACGATTTTACAGGTCCTCACATGATGAGCTTGCCCAGTTATGTTAAAAAACTAAAGAAATAGTTTAAAAAATATAGATATAATACACAAATTTCGCAGCTTTGTGATTGTCATGTAATCAGGAAATTCTTTAAAAAAAATTTTTTAATTTAAATTGTTTTTAAAATTATTTATTAATGAATATTTTAATATTATAATTCTTCGGCTAATATAATTAGGTAGATATTTCCTTTATCTCTCCGGAAGATTGCTGTTCGTTAGTTAAAAGATAACAATTTGTTACCAACGAAATTACTTGTACAGTATAATTTATTTAAAAAAATAAAATATCCTATTAACGGGTTTTAGAATTTGGCTTAAAACCAATAACAAAATACCAATCCGAATGAAAAATATTACCAACCGGTTGGTATAATAAATGAATTTATCGTCAGAAATTTCTACAAGCTCATCTTAAAAATAATATGATCTATACGAGAGTTAAATTCAATGCTATTTATCAACTATTTATATCGTCTACCTCACAAATTATGAATCAAACAAATATACTTCATAAATCTGAAATTGATTATGAAATCGATAATAATATTATAAACAAAAATGCAAACATAGACGTAACCTTACTATATTAATACAATATATTATAAATGTGTAATACATACATTTAAGTACATATGTACATAATATTATTATATACACGTGTGGATGAGGTCACGTTATAATTTCCACTTCGCCACAAAACACCCGACACAATAATGCACCTATTAGACTACTTACATACATTTAAAATGGTATTCTGTCGGTGAAAATGAGCACGTGCGTATCGATGAAAAAGTACCTTTTACACGGTTCCGCGAGTATAATGATACCTATGCCTACTATATAATATTATGGAAGTGTATTACGTATTTACGGAACAAGTAAAATATTATATATACTTGGTCACAATTTGAAGATGAACAAAGGAGTGTAGGAGAAAAAAAAAAGCTATTGAGAAGTTTATAGTTTATGTTCAACGCGAATCGTGACTAGAATATTATTATATAAATATTAGCGTAGTATAGTCAGCTGACCTAAAACTGAGCAACAACACGCTAATGAGACCTTGAAACTTTGTATACGTACATATGAAATCTACCACAACCACCAGTACACCGTGCGTGTGTATCCCTTATTTATTCATCGATCATCAACATAATATTATATTAAACACCATCCGGATCGTGAAAAAAAATCTTAATTTACACTTCAAGAGTTAAATCAGCATATTTGACACTAAAATCGTAAACAAATTATATAATACAAAATATTTGTCAACATTTTAGTCAAATAATTATATTTGGAATATATCAGGGTTGTATTATATACGAATATAATTTATATTTTATATTATATAGGAATAGGATTGTAGACCACGTCATAATATACTACCGGGAAAACCTAATAAAACAAATTCTTCAATTGTGCCAAAAAAAATATTTTATGTAAACATTAAAAATGAATACAAAGCAGATATGTAAGTTTTAATTAAAATGCGTAATAGTATACAAGTGATCACTAGTTGAGCGATGAATCGCGAAATTCAAGGACAAAGTTATAATAATTATTCAAACGGAAATCGACGAAATTTTAATTACAAGTGTAACAATCGTTATTGGTAATTTATTTAATTGTGTTTTTTTATATACATATATTTGTATTTATCGTTACTATTTATTTATTTATTTTTTTTTTTTATTTAAGGTTTACTAAATAATATTTTCTGATAACACAGCCAGAAAATATAAATTCAAAATTTTTTTCAAATTTTGTCCGTTTTATATAAAATTTGCAATAATCAAATGTTACAAATTACAATAATTGCATACATTTCTAAAATATTCTTATACAAATACGTCTATACGCCCAGTGGTGTGGTGACGTGGTTTTTAACATTTCGGGTTTTCAATATATACAATACATTTATAATATATATGTTTTCAATAGACGTCACAATTGAAATTCGGTGGTTAATTGTATAGGTTGGCAAGAAAAACATCAACAATAAGTGTTTGGTATTCAGTAATAATCATTATCAATAAATGGATCAAAACATTAATCGATTAAATAGTATTTACTATTTATATACATAATAAAAATTTGTCCAGATAGACAGAAATTAAAAAAAATAATAAAATGAAGGTGACGGGTGTTTTATGAAGGGACGATGTGAGTGCTGAAATATTTGTTGTGCGTTATTTTTCATAAAAGATTTGTCTACACTCCACTGTATATACGATATGTCTACACATTTTTTGAAGTTATAGGTAAAATATTCAGGGCTAAAAATGTATGATCGGTATGCACGCAGTAAGGTCATAGTAATGTATACAGTAATTTCGAATTACCAATGCAAGTCAGCAAAACAAAGACAAAACAAAAATAATAATAAAATACAGTTATCAGTTGGTCATGGCGTAGTTGTGCATTGAGAATTTCAAATGCTGCCATTTAAACGAAATATTTTAACTATCCCGCCCTGGCCTCTTTTATTTATATAAATAATAATGTATATTTAATTGGAACGAAACCTTTTACTGAAATTCGAATTTCCTTTGAGTTTTATCGAAAACTAAAGGAAATTTTGTGACTGTTATCTTCTTACTTATATATATAATATTGATATTATAATTAAAAAATAAAATATATATTCCGTGATAGGTACTATAATTGTGATAATAGATAATGGTATAAAATACGTGGTTACCGTAGTAAAATCTTCACATTTTATCACAAGTGAAATGGGTGTATCTACACATTTGTAATGCATATCAAGCGGGAGGGAGGGCAAAGCCCCCCACAAGTCTGTGAATAAAACTATTTGTATCCGTCCCTAGCAAAAATACTAAATATACACTACTACTGTATACAATTATGTAATATAAATACATTCTAATAATTCATCTAAATATAGATTATATAGTTTTTTTTTTTTTTTAATAAATTTGTAGTACAATGTAATAATATTATATGTACATAATAAATAATCGACTCTGATTGAAATTTATAATTTTTTTTTTTGGAGTACCTAACCTATATGAAGAAAAAAAAATTGAGAATATCAATTATTTAAAATTTTCATTTGAGCAAGTTTTGAAAAGTTTTGACCGACTAGGATCATTGCCTCAATATTATTTAACATTAACATTACTTTTGCAAAAACAAACTGATACTTGAAAATGTCTTTGAAAAAAAATTAATATTTTAACTCATTATTGGTTCAAACTGATTCAAACTCGCTATCACGAGTAGTACCAATTATACAGAGTATCCTACAGTATTTTCCTCTAAAGAAAAAACGATTCTGAGCGCAGTTCAGTGATAGTGATGTTATGTCAACAATATATGTATCGTTATATGGTTAAATTATTGAATAGTCATTATATATTTTCTTTAATAATATTTATTTAATATTGTATCGATTTTCCGTTTTTCCTGCATTTTTCCCGGTTTTCCCATGTTTTTTCTCGGATTACTACATTTGAAAAGAAAACTCTTGGGAAAATAGGAAAATGATCTCCTTAAAGTACTTCTTCACACCGATTTCCTTAAACTACTAAACTTAGACACCAGCGTTTTTTAATATTTGACCTATCGACTGGAAAACTATAACGATCGATCGGTATATCATTTTTACAAATTTCTAACCTCAAAATGTTCATTTCTCTCCCCCCTCCTCTCAAATCCGATCAAATTAATTTTCAAATTTCGGGTGCTAGTGTGATGTGGAAGGAATATTAGGGATAAAAATAAAAAATAGCTATAAAGTTTGCTTAGAACTTTTTAAGAATATTATATAGTTATTAAATGGGAATCAAAGGCGGGGATCAAATAAATATACAATAGTTAAAGAATTAACAGACTATTGTCACAACCAAAGACAAAAATTGTAGTAACGTTATACAAGGTAATCAACATAACGTAATACACTCATTATTCTCAGAAAGTATTAACTTTTTTCAGAACTAGCTTTTTAGAAAATTTAAGAAATTATAAGCTTTAAAATGTTACATTACTCTTTTCCACTACCTACTATTGGTTTTCAAATGGCAACCTATATTAAAAATGCCATTAATAGACAGATTAGTTTAAATCTATTTTGGTGATAACATTTTTAATTTCCATCATTTTTTCCCTACACATAAATCGCCCATCGAAATAAATTTTCAATAACTTTACATTAAATACAATATAAATTAGAAAACGAAAACTTTCACTTCGCGCCTAATGCATAATATACAGACACGAGTATATATATATTTTATCTAGACGACGGTCATTTCTCCGTACAGTATACGGGGGTTCGGGCGATCAATCAAAACTCTCACAATGTGACAGACGTGAAATAATAATTTTGTAATTAACGAACTTTTACAATCGCGTTACTCAAATATCGTTACTAACAATAACGTTATGATATAACATCATTGTACATTTATTCTAGCGTGGGGTGTCTGATATATTTTGTCACTTTTATCATGTTTTATCATATATATCAGTTTGGTACATATCGTAATAGTTATTGCGATAACCAATAACTATGGCGATAGATAGTTAACATCACTGGTTGAAAATATCGACACTACTGTAGCGTATGAGCATTATTTTTGTAGTAGCCATACTGGTAGCGTACGATTATATTTTGATAAGTAGCACAATAGTGCGATAACAATGCATTTTCCATAGAACAACAGCGAATAATTCGCTTTTATAAGAGGAATGTCGTCAATGGACCAACGGAAATCAAAAATGTCAACACTAAAATTGATTTTAACTAATACTCCATCTATTTATGGAATTTTTAATATAGATTGTCATTTGAAAATCTAAAGTAAGTAGTGGTTTTACCCTCAAAAATAAGGGTTACAAAAAAATAACATAAATATAAAATTGTAAAATGACTTGTTTTTTAAATGTTTTAGAAAACAAATTCCGAAGAAAGTTAATACTTTTCAAGATAATGACTGTACCCTTTTAAATGAATCACCTGATATTATCATAGAATTAATATATAAGATACTATACTTTATAGGAGTAATTTTTGTCTAATTCATTAGAAAATTAGCTTAAACGAGTGTATAGTAACACGAATAGTTAACGGGCATGTAAAAATAAATATAAAGTAAGACGCCTAATCACCTTCTGGTGATATAATAATCTTTTGGAGTTTTATAAGTATTAGATAAACATTTCGCAAACATCGTTAGGAACTAGAAACCGCGTGTGGCTAAAAACGATTTACAGTATAGTAGTTAGTTAGGTACCTCCTCTTAGTAGTCATTAAACACAAATTATTGTTTTTGGCACATAAACTAAAACTAACAATATACGATTAAAATACATTCAAAATCAGCCGAAACTTTTTGAACTTCTAATTCCAAAAGTATCTAGCTTTTTACTTTTAATACATTAATTTATATTTATCGAATTTAAATGAAATATTTTATTGAAAAATATTATTGTATTATTGTCCAATTATGTTCTATACCAATGGCTTATACCAGAAATGGCAAATCCATGACATGTAAAAAAATTTTGAGAGCATGCAAAAATTAAAGTATTTATAATGTGATTTTATTTTTGATAATAAATAATAGCATCACAATTCCACACATTTTTTATTATTATATATATACATATTTATTATGTATGCATAATATTTTTTATAAATTAAAGGCACGCTCGGAAAAAAAAGGTTATGTTTGGCACATAGCGTCAAAATAATTTGCCACCTCTGTCTTATACGATAAATAATTTTGAAAAATTGACTGTTATATAAAAAACAATTTATATTTATATATTTATATTCATATAAGATATGCAACTTAACGTACTAATAAACTCTTATCAAATTCTGAGGCAAGACGTTGTTTGTCAATACACGGCGAGTTTGATGCTAAAGTACCAGTCTACAGTGAATACTTCTCAAAAAATATGTTATAGTTATTATCCGAATGAAAACTTATGTAATTGTAATCGTACCTATTTGCGCATGACCTATTTACCTATGAATTGCGCAATAGGTAGGTGCATATATCGACAGTGTTTTATTAAAAGGACATCTATCATATTTCACTTTTTTTAGTAAGCAAAAAAAACTGTTTTGCAAAGAAACAGTAAAACAGTTTTTAGTGACGTTTATCATGGAAAACAATAAAATTACTCGTACGCATAATAACTTGCACACAAAGTATACATGCATTGAACGTGGTATATGCCCTTTTGACAAATCAGAGTTGATTTTACTATATTTTAAAAGGTCATCTGAATATATTTTAATCGAAATTACCAACTTAATTTTCTGTATTTAAATATGTTCTTTAACCAGTTTATGCTCCTAATTTTTCTGATTTTTTTTGTTACCAAATCATATTTTTCAATTTTTAGTGGTATACACTCTTTTAACAAAACATCATTGTTCATTCATTGCTCAAATCTACATTTCACCGACTTAAAATAAGTACACTTACACGGTTATTACACACAAATAAAATGAAAAAGAGCCGATACTGGGAATAGGTGCAGCCACTGTTATAGGTGGGAAATTAGGAAGGCATGATACATTAAATTATTCAATTTATATTTGTACGCATAGATAAATTATTTCTAACAAATTTGAATAAAAATTTGGTTTTAAAATAAGTATTATAAAAAAAAACGAATGCATTAAACTTAAATTTGTATTTTAGAACACTTATAATGCACCTTGTGATAAATGATCAAGTATTTCTCTTAAGTTATATAATTTGAATAATAGATACCTAACAAACAAAATTTTCTTTCAGAAGAGGTGCTACACTTGATACATCGAAACAAGATTTCTGGTAGAAATTGTGCACACTGTATAATAAAAATAATAAAATTTAATAAAAATCATTATCATTGTAAAACCAATACTTTTCTTACTACGCTCCGAATCTTAAATGTATTTTAAGAATGAGAAAAATACTATTAAACAATACGTTAATGCTAATTTCAAAGTGTCTGTAGAAATTGAAAATAGTATACCTATTTCAATTTAATTTTTACTCTATACTGGCATGTAAATATTTTAATTCTATATAATTTTAAACACTACAAAATAAAATACTATAATCGCGAAGGTAGACGAGTGTATAAATATTTAAAATATATTAGGTAAAGACAATACATCAATTCCATAATAAATTATAATATTTTATTGCAATTTACTTTAGATTATTGTATACATATATGTCTCGTCTAAATATTAAACACTACCAGTTACACCTACTGATAAAAATTAATTTTTTTATTTTATAAAAATAAAATAATTAATATCGGTATTATTGACAAAACAAAAATGTACTTAGACACAATATGACAGCGTTATAATATTTACTTAAGATATCAATAATAATTAATGTACGACGACACGGTTATATGTTACCGTATGATGGATGGACGTATAGCGGAACGCGAATAAACGAACCATTAAATTTTGACCAGTTACCTATATTACGAGTATATTATTATTAGTTATATTCAAAACACTCCGGTGTAATAGTATATTAGAATGCAAGAGACATTGTTAGTCTCGGACGACTAAAAAATCGTTAATTAACTGTAACGGTGTTTAATACCCAACAACAATAGAAGGTAAAGTAACTATAGGTAGGTTAATATTATTATTGGTTATTGAGCATCTATATTTTTTTTAAATTCAATTACTATAATCATATATTATAATTTTTTATACAGTGTATATATATAACGGATTTAGGTTATTTTTCTTGATATTTTAATTTTCAAGTGCAATATACACGTATTTGAAAAAAACGGGCATACTTCGCACGTGAGTGCAGCCACTGTTGTAGGTTGGAAATTAAGAAGGTAGGATATAGACGAGAATTTAACGTATACCTGTAAACAACGATAAACCATTGCTAACGAAAAATCGATTCTGAGCGCAGTTCAGTTAATAGTGATGTTTTGTCAACAATATGTTAATTCATAATATATGTCATATTATGATCAAATAATTAAATAGGCATTACATATTTTTTGTTTTATATTGTACCGATTTTCTTGTTTTTCCCGGATTTCCTATGTTTTTTCCCGGTTTTTCACATTTGATGATAAAATTCCCTAGAAAATCGAAAAATAAAATCTTTAGAGCACCTTCCCAGTAAAATTTACTTTCAGAAAAAGTGTTGTAATTGTGAATCGGAACGAAATTGCTGGTAGAAAACTTGTCCATAGAAAAAAAATATCATAATATGTTACTAATATATTTCGTTAATTTTCCCGTTTTTCCCATTTATTGTGAAAGTTGAAAATTGAATTCCCTAAGTACCATGCAGGTATAATTTCATTTCAGTAAAGGTGCTATACTTAGTAAAATTTCTGGTAGAAGTTTGCACAACAAATCGAGAGGTATTTTCGATTAAAATAGTCCGAGCGAGCGATATCGAGGTCTTGAGATAGACTTAAAATGCATTTGTTTTTCTCCTGTTTAGGTAAAAGGGAAATAATAAATAAGGCAAAAAATGTTTTCTAAATCACGGGTTCGATAACTCGCGACCTCTAGGACGCCAATGGGCTTGAAGTACCATTAGACCACGATAGACATTACAATAGTATGGACAATATAGAGCTATTTAATTATCATTAATTTAAATTATAAATCAAAAATGTATCATATAATATCCTCATAATATCAGAACTTCAAATTTCGAAACTAAGTCAGTCCACTCAATTCTGACTTCACCATCGTTCGTAAATCAACAATATATATATCTCCAAAGCAAAATATTGAAAAATTAGATTTATTCCACATAATTTTTTACACAAACGATTTTCGTCAATATTTGATTTTAAAATTCCTTTTTAAAAAAAATACTACATTAAACTCAATTTTTTTTCTGACCATAACGTCCGACTTTTAATGAATTTTTGGTTTAAATTTTCAAGCATTTTTGTCAAGTCTAACAATTTTACCACACACTACCTACCGAATAAAAATTACGTACAAAACTCTCAAAATTAAAATGTCTATAAATACCTCAAACATGACTTAAATTTGTTGACAATTTTACCATGTATAAAAAAAGTAAATATAAGTGTTCTATTTAAATTTCAAGTCTTTGGGAATATTTTTAACTGAATTACAACAAATAACAAAATTGAAAAATAATAAAAGCATTATTTTCGTAAATTTCCCGTTGTTCTTACGTTTTATCCTGTTTTTTTCCAGATATTATGAAGATCGAAAAATGACCTTCCCAATGTATCATTTGGAAACATTCCCTTTCAGAAATATTGCTGCGCGTATATATCTGAGCAAGATGTATAGTCGAATTTTTGTACACAAAAAAATAAAAATAAATAACATCTTAATATAACCAATACATTCTTCGCTACACTCAGAATCTAAAACAACATACAAACGAGAAAATATTCTTAGCTTCAATTTTGATAATATAAGCCAAATCATTTTAACATTAAAACTAACATAAAATCGGTTCTATTAAACGAAAAGTAGACATTATTCAAAATTGCACATTTTAGCCGTAATATGAAAATATAATAATATTTTCTTGTCTTCCATTATGTCTTATCATACTATGTGTCCGTTTTCTTTCATAACATGTAAATTAAACTGATTGCTTATTAAATTGTATAGTTCATTTTAATATTTTGTCAGAAGGTAACTCTCTACTAGCTCCATCACAAGCTACAGAGTAAAGGAGTAGATTTATTTTATTTTATTATATATGTCATATGTGTGTATATTAATTAAATTAAAGATTTTTTCAAGAAAAAAATTTTTAAATACACGCAATATGTGTGTATTCCTTACAAACATCGATATAATTTTATATATTATATATATATAGTTGTTTAATACTATTATACTATTATATGTTTAGACTATTAGAATTATTCTCTTCTTTTCCTCGTCAGTAATCACAGGTTAAGTCATTCTGTCACATTTAAAAGAGAAAAAAAATCAATAAATATAACGCGTATTAAATTATATTATGATCATCTTATTGATACGTCTGCGTTAAGACATTTAAAAGCCTAAAAAAAGCAAGGGCCAAAATTTTCAATGATTCCCACAAAAAGAATAATAAAAAAAAAAATGCTAACAATTATTTCATAATATGATTCAACAAAATAAAAACTATACATAATAATATATAATAGTAAATCTAGTAGTCTCTTCGAAAATTCATAACCGAAAAGTTATTAAAAACAATACAAATATCAAAAAATGCAAAGTTAATGATTACATACAATTATATAAAGAACAAATGTATAGTTTTGTAAAAATTGAGGGTCCTGGAATTTTGTGACCATGGCCGCCTGCATCCTCTTTCCCTTAATCTGGGCTTGGATATGGACTTAATCATATTATTTTTGATAAAAATATAGGTATTAATATAAAATAATAAATATAAATGCATTACGCTTCGCTTATTAATAATGTAGTCATAATTTATAAAAAAAAAACATTCATTTTTAATATATAGGTACCTACATTTATATACACATAAGTCTTAAGGTCTCGGTTTTCGAATTAACTTCCTACATCACGTCTTTTAATGTGATCGTGAATAACGAACCGGCAACCTGTTGATGGGCACGTAAGTACGTACATAATATAATTGCCTTGACCATTGGTGGATTTAAAAAGAAACGAACTGACCTCTCGTATTATTTTTTAAACTTCAGATATTTACTACGATATAGCCGATATAGATACCATCAATAGTAGACATTAACTAGTTAAAAACGTAAAAAAATTGTAATGTAACTTTTTAGATTAACTATGGTTACTTATTTTTATTGTTAACTAATTAACTTGACTATTAAAAGTTGTTATTGTATAAACTTGGAATTTTTACCCTTTTTACATTTAATTTTAAATTCAATTTAAATTGACTCTCCTCAGTAAGTATTACGATTTATGTATTACTACAATGTTTTATTTATATATACATTTTGTTTATTTGTATACAAATTAAAATGTGTATTACTTGAACATTTGTTTGGTTTCAACTTTAAACCAATAACTAACCCAATTAATTTTTTATTTACTTTTAACTGAAGGCCATTCGTATATGTAGATACGTACGTCAACTTGCAATATTATTCTGAAATAGGATTAATAACAATAGTATCATATAATATATAAAATGTTAAACTAAATCCTTTATATGGTGTATAAAATAATGTATACTCATAGAATATATCATAAATTTATTTTCACTTAGTGTCGAGTACTAAAGTTCAATAAACGTTAAAAAATGTTTTTTTTTTTATACGGAAAAAAATACACGCGGTATCGAATCGCCACAGAAAAATTTTGTTAAATTTATAATTATATGATTTTTCACTGTAAATGTTAAAAGGAACCAATAACTAGGTATAAAATAAATAAATAAATAAATAGGTATTCACAAATATATATAATATACAAGTTAGGTTAAGAATATATATTATAAATATAGGGTGATCCATTTATCACGATCCAGCGATTTTTATCAAAAGATTTTATTGAATTTTATTATTGAGTTTTGTTTTCGTTCAGTTACCTATAAGAAATCATTCAAACACTTTATTTTCACGCTCTTTAAATTGTTTATCCCTTTATCCTTAAAAGAGTATGTAAAAAATCCTCCAAGAAAATCGCCGTTTCACGACCTAATGAGTACCACTCTGTATATTATAATACAGTATGCGCCGGTATAAATATGATTTTAATATAATATCGTAACGGCCCCGGAAAGTGAGATTATAAGTCCAGTCCTGTGAGAAACTCCTCAGGCTCGTTGGTTATAGATATAACGCCGACCGTAAAGCTAATAATAATTATTATATTACACCGAACAGTGTAGCGGATACATATAGCTTAATAACCTGGTGTAGAGGTACCTACCTACGTATGTGGATATACCTAATAATATCGTGGCAATATCGTGGTAAAGAAAAAAAGGAGAGAGAAACAGTGACGGAGAGGAGAAAAGGCTGTAACTGTTCGATACGGCCGCCCCAGCGGGTAACATTCTTGAATAATAATTTTTTTTTTAACCAGCGTTTAACTCGAATCACGAATGGAATCTGCGGCACTCCCAACCGTCGTCGCCGACCGGACGACCTTCAAGTGTCCGCATACTAGGTTCACTCGCAGTGTGGTATTTTGTTTTATTTTTTATTTTTTATTTTTTTTTTCACGATATAATATTCGCGTGTGTGAGCTTCACCGCACCGCCACGCTCCGGTGAAAAACAGATAATATATAATATTGTAGGGTCGTGTTAAAAAATGTTTTGGACGTAAAAATATAGATCGTGTATAGGTAGGTACGGCACAATGTGTCCACCGCTGCCATACAATAACAATAGTAATTTTTTTTTTAATTGCTAATTGTTCGCGGTTATGCCGAAAATTTGTCGACCTCTTCTGTTCCAGGTGAGGTCAGGGCACTGCCTTATCATATATTCTAAGTATCTAAGGTACACCCAGAGTGCAAAATAATAATATAATAATCATATACTATAACCGGACCGCGCGATATGAGTTTACTTCTTTGGATCGAATATACCTATACGATGATCGTGACAATAGATATTATTATCATATGTGCGTTTTGTTACCTATGCACAAACACCTATTATTAAGCATAATAATAATATAGGTATAAGTATATACAATTTATACACGAGCAATGAAAATCGTGTTCAATGACATTTCAGACACGTATTAAATAGATAAAAACAAATAACATTTTAGTAAATATACCTAACCCCTAGGTATAGGTACCTACAGGGTGATTTTTTTATCATGAACTAGCAATTATATCTCGGAGGAGTTTAAGTGAGTTTGATTTCTGGTTTTTTTAATCATTATGGCATCGTTTAAGCTTTATTTTAAAACCATTTAAATGTTTTAACCTTACTCCATAAACCTTAATTTAAGCCCATAATTTTGGTTTACAAATATGAACCCGCAGATAATATCAGATTTACCGTTAATAAGTTATAAGTATTATGCATATCCAAATTTCAAGAAAAATATTCTCTATTCAAATCTGTGTGGAAAAGAGGAGTTCGTATTTGAAAATCAAAATGATGTGCTTATTTAATGTACATGGATTAGGGGTAAAATATTTAAAATGATTTTAAAAAAAGCTTAAACGACTCCATAATGATTAGAAAAAACAGAAATTGAATTTACTTAAAATCCTCCGAGATAATTGATGGTTTATTATAAAAAAAAAATCACCCTGTATAATATAAATAGGGGAAAGAGGGCTTCCAGTGTTTGCATATTAGTTTTGCGATTCCGTTAACAAAAATTCAGCTAGAAAAAAATTTATTTCGTGTTACGACAATGCCAAATGTATAGTTGTATATAATTTTAGACATTTCCAGGTTTTCTATGGTTTTTTCACACATCATCTTTTAAAATAACATTTATCAAAACGATTATCATTTGTATATATAAAATAACATATCCTGACTGGCTGAATGATTCATCGTCACCAGAACCACTAATGCTATGAGTATGAAATTTGGTCAGTAGTTTTGTTACAATACAAGGACCCACTAAGAAAGGGTTTTCCAAAATTAACCATTAGAGGTAAAACGGGGTAAAACGATCAAAAATGGTAAACGTTATTTCTTAAAGCTACACTATCCCTGAGTAATATATAGTTATGGTGCCCAGACGTACTGTTTTTTGTAGGGCAGTACTCTTTTTTGATGCATTATCCTATGTCCTTAACAATAGTGTTAATCACATGAAATTTTACTTGTTTTGTACTTTTTTCAATTATAAATAATAAATAAATAAATATAAATATATTTAGGAAACATATATTAATGAAGTTTTGTATTTATTTATTTAAATATTTACCTTTAAAAATTAATTTAAATATATATACTTTAGTTATACCTGTGTACTTTAAGTTGACTTAAAATTACTTAAGTTTCAAAGTATTTTCATCATAATGACACAAATCAAATGAATTGATATTATGATTTAAAATAATTCGTTTTTATAGTTGATAATAGAAAAAATAATAATCAGATAAAAATATATATATATATAGATGGAGATATGCTATCGGCAAAATGGGTAGAATAGTATACACAATATACATTAGCCAATTCTTTCCAGGGAGGGGTTTTTATTACAATGAAGGACTTAAATTTTAAAATTTAATTTTTTTAAATTTTCATATCTGGTTACCATGTATATAGGCTACATTTTATTTTACAATTTCTCCGATTAAGGTTGTCTCAAACATAACACTTTGTCTAAAAATAATCTAGAAATATAATTTTATTCGTTAATTTCTAGTTGGTAGGTTAAGTTGTTACAATATATATTACACAAGCAATGCTGGATCAGGACAACTAGATTTTCTATAAATATAAACAAAAATAAATATTCATAACTCTTTGTGAATAACAACCTAAGTAATTTTACCCTCAGTTTCCCGATTTAACAATAGGTGGCGCGTGAGTCATTTAAAATGTAAACAAAGTCGTGGGCACCAACTGTACAATTATAATAATAAATTATTATAGATTCTCAAATTTTATTCATTTTTACAAAAATTATCCAACAAACATGTTACATCTCTCACGAGTGAAATATAAAAATAATGTTAATCATTAAAATTACAAAACTGCTTACCGGCGAAGTTAGATAATACAGCTAATAATTAATAAAATCATAATATATTATAAATAGTATTTTTTGAATATCAAAAGAAGTAATGTATCAACTAAAATATAAATGAATCAAATATATCAATAAAATTAATGTAATAGACTAATGTCAAAATCAATAAAAAGTAAAAATGACATTGAGACAAATAATTTTTCTATTAATTTAGTCATGGTGCGACAGATAATTGAATTAGAGAATTGTTTTTTCGCTTATTTTAGATGGTTTTTAAAAAATTAATTTGTTTTAATTAAATCACTAAAAAAAAATGTTTGTGCATATTTTACAAATGTTAAGTGCACAAGTACTTATACATTTACAATTATTTTAGAACTATAGGGTCAAGTGGGGTAAATGGAAATTGGAGAATAGGAAACAATGTTAATTAAAATCAGGTCGCGGAAATAATACATATTAAACCATTAAATACTATAATATGTCATTGTTCCAGTATATGTTTTGATAACTGAATTGATATTTTAAAGTAGATAATGTTTGAAAAATTGATATTTAAAAACACCTAATCATTTTAGATTCAGAGCATATTGGTTTTATTTTTTCTTGTATTTTTGTTTGTGTCTGTGAACAACTTTTCTACTAGAAATCTTGCTTTGAAGTAAAAAGTATACCACTTTTTCTGAGAAGAAATTTGTTCTAGTTGGTGCATTTAAAAGGTTGTTTTTTGATTTTCTAAAGGGATATTCAAAATAATTGGGAAAAACTGAAAAAAAATTATAGGTAAAACGGTAAATAATTACAGCGCACCACGACGTTGCCAATTTCATTATTTTATATTTGTATACAGAATTTTTTCAACCAGATATACTGCTCCAATCGGAAAATGACAAAAAATCGATTTTGTTTCTTTTAATATATAGCTAATGAGCAGAATCAGTGGTTTTTTTACATCTTTGATAATAATTGAGAAGAACCAGAAAAAATCGTAGAAAGAACGAGAAAATGTACGAAAATAATTCTTTTATTATTTTGAATTTTGTTTTCTTAAACATAAAATAAAATTATATATACACTATACAGTTATACTAATAATTAATAAAACTTGCAAATTTAATTTTCAGTTTCCCCAGTTAACAACGTTCTCTATCCTATCTATATTAAATAAACAAATATTAAAAACCAATAATATTCTGGTATATTGTTTAAGAATATTATTTTCGAAATGTACGATACTTTAGTGATTTTTCAATTTATGCGTGAACATATGTGATCCAGTTCCAGTATACATACTGCGCAAAATAAGATCGGGTATATATTATATACTTTCCTCTACCTAATATGCATTACTATGTTTTGTTTTATTGATCTAAAAATGCATACAGCAACAAATAACATAATATAACTATCGGATAAAGTCCTTTCTAATTTATAATAATTTATAATATTATACTATTTAATCAACACGTATAAAAAATTAATTTCTTTGCATTCGACAAAAGTTAATGTAATACTATATATTATTACATTTCAATAATAAACAGAAATGTATATTACATACGAAAACAATTTCAGTTCCACAAAAATTTGTACGTAGGTACTGAAAATATTCTACGGTTTTTAATTTTTTATACCTACATAATATTTTATCAGCGTAAGTACACACTTGCATAATACTTAATCGAACACATAAAACTGTATAATAATTTAATTTGTATTGTTTCGCAACTACCGTACGTCTTTTGCGCCCTAAAACGGTTTTTCTTTTTCTTTTTTTATTATTCCGATTAGTCACACAGAGCATCACGTTTTTAAAACACAATACAAAAAAAATCTGTATCGAATGACTATTATATATTTGAAATGTCAAGTAAACATTATTATATTAAAATCTATTTACAATTTACTTAAACGTCAGTGGAGCAAAAAAAAAAAATTCTTATCTGATATCAATTCAGTTTATAAATAAAAAGACAAAGAGTAAACGCATTTAATTGACGTACGATGATTATTCGTTATTTCCTCTTTTTTTAAAATGTATATATATGCTATATACTATTAAACACGTACAAACTGGTAAGCAGGTAATGTATAACTTTACGGTTTCCTAAAACTTGTGTGTAATAATATTTGTCACAACAAATTTGAACGAAACTTTGAACATCACAGAGATTTGTGACTTTAAACTCACACTGGTGACCAGTCAATCAATCATTTGTTATTCAGTTTAACGTATTTACATATTGCACGATTATAAAACAGGTACTTAATTATCTTAATTATTTTCTTTTAAAATAAAGAAAAATTGGGGTTTACTTGAATATAGTCTTACCATAGACAAATAATAAATCTAATAAATGTGAAAATAAGTAAATAATTTAATAATAATGTGTACATAAAAAAAATTATTTAAAATGCTCAGAGCACATTCAAATACAACAATGTGCATGGGTACAAAATTATATTAACTAATTAGTATAACTGACGTGTTCTATTATTTTAAGTTAGATGTTAATATTATTTTTTGAAGACGGATATAAGCAAAGTTATTTTGTTTTCACGAAAAATAATAATAATTAACTTTAAAAATACGTCCTAGAATAATGGGGACGGGTGCAGTCACTGTTATAGATAATTTAATGTATACCTGTAAGCAACGATAAACCATTGTTTACGAAAAAACGATTCTAAACGGAGTTCAGTTGATAGTGATGCTTTTTCAACAATATTTATGTAATTTTATAGCAAAAGAATTAAATAGGCTTTATATATTTTTTTTATAATATTTGTTTAATGTTGTACCGATTTTCCCAGTTTTTCAACTTTTTCCTGGTGTCCCATGTTTTATCCCGGTTTTTTACATTTGCTGAGAAAACTTCTGAGAAAATCGAAAAATTACCTGCTTAAAGTACTTCTTCAGTCAGATTTCCTATCGGAAAAAGTGCTATAATTATAAATTTGAGTGAAATTGCTAGGAGAAAAGTTGTCCACAGAAAAAATAACATAAATAAAAATAAACAACATTGTAAAACCATAAGCTCCTTCGCTCCACTCAGAATTTAAAAAAGTAATTAATTAAAATATGTATTGGTAGGATACCATAGGTATTTTATTATAATCGATTTTCAAACCTGCACTAATATAATATTATAATAATCAAATTTAAACTCATAATAGATTAAATAAACATAATTTATATCCGGTTATTGTTTTTGATAATTAAAAAATAATACTGTGCCTATATATTATGTATAGTACTCTACAGACTACAAGCACATAAAAGATTAAAATAAAAATACGTTTTACCGTTAGTCGATTCACAGTTAACCATGTAAAGACAATATCATATAGAGTTACCTAAATGTTATAGCCAAAATAATATCTTATCGACGAATTCAAGTATAAAATCTAAAAAAAATCATCTTTTAAAATTTGAAATATTTTTTTTTTGATTTGTTCTTATTAAAAAATGAATGTATTTCCTATACTTAACCTAACTTTAGTAGATATTCGATTTGTATTTTAAAAACGTGTGATTTCTCGATTTAAACCAAAATGTATTATTATTATATTAATATAATTCGCATAAGACATATTATATTCTTAAATTATTAAGTAACTGTTTATTGAGTTCATATAGTTTATATTGTACTAACAAAACGGCATTTTACTAATACAGAAAAGCGATTTTGAATCATATCCCTTTCCTATATAAGAAATGCAGTTTTTACAACGTACTGTCGTGTTTTCTTATGTCTACAAAATTAAACAAGTTGAGCGAGACAATATAGTAAAATACCATATTAATAGAAAAATAATAATTTTATCTAAATGCGATAGTTTAACTCAAGAATAATGCCTTATTGCATTGTAATTAATTAAAACTAGTTTAGTGTTTTAGTTCTCTATACAATAGTATATTGACAAAAAATTTTTTTAAATTTTAAAAAAATGTGGAGTACACTATCTGGTGTTTGTCTATTCGACGAACAGTACAACGAAATTACACCACGTCGAACTTAAATGGCAACATTTATAGGTTGAATGAAATTTTTAACACTCGTGAACGAATCATAAAAGTAAAAAGCGTTTTTGGAGAGCATTTCTAAAGCCTCTCGTTGTGTTTATAACCTTTTCGTAAAATAGTAAGTATATCTAATAATAATTTATATGTTTGAAATATCTGTTTTTATTAAAAAAAATGGTACAGACATTTTTTTTTTCTTTATCTAAAAAAGTAAAATAGTATTTTACAAAAAAGCTATAATATAAGGGATACACACATACATGCAAAAACAAGTTTCTTTAACGTTTGTTTATACAAACGTTAAAGAAAACGTGATACCCGCAAATTTCCTATCTCAATCCGACTTTCACGGACCATGTTGCTGCAAAAACATGCTGACGTATTCCGAGTAGAAATGATTTGATTTTGCTTTCAGAGTAAAAAATACTTATTATGAAACCATAAGAGTACGATGCGGTTTTTTTTTTAAAATTACAATCCGTTAAAAATGTTGTTCCAAAAAAATGGGGGAAACGCCACAATTTAAGTTCTGCATGTCGTATAATTATGCCATATTTCCTATTGAATCTTCTTTTTGTTCAATATACGCATGTAAACGAACGCTTGCGTGTGACATCCTTTTAAAGCATAACCTACTATTTTACAAAAAAAAAAAAGATAAACGTATTTATAAAAATTCTCCAGCATTCATTAAATAAATAAATATAATATAATCTCAATACTATAAATGAGTTGTTATTCAAAAGTCAATACTATTTAACCGTTTTGTTTAGATATTCGTATATTATTGCAGGTATACAAAGTCTCCCGTTAAAATATGAAATAACGACGCTAAATCAAAAATGCTTCGGAGCGTTTCATTTATCATTATAGTGGAACTTTTATAACCCAAAAAAGCTGTTTTCGTTCTTATACACGTATATAATAATAATATATTGTTTCGATTAAAGACTAGTTGTAATTTTCCGGTCGAATGAAAAATGTTGACCGACTCACAATCCAAATCACACAGGAATACCCGCGTTTTCCACGCAAACCCATCTCTTATATACCTACCGGCTGTAGTACCACCCTATCTAGACAATAAGAACGATAACAATAATATATTAAAACCGGCCAAAACTTAATTTATAACCGACAGATGTATGTCTTTATACATAGGCACTATATTATGCATATAATTTACTATACCGCACTTTATTTATTGTAAAAAATCATACTATGTTTTTACAGCGTTTTTGTTTATGTATTTTTTTCGAGCATTAAGAACACAAGACTACATGTCTTGAACTATATACACAAACTTTATAAAAACGCGATAAATTCTAATTTGACATAAACCCTCACCGATGTAAACGAGGATAAAATACATCTATATTTTATATATAAGTTCTATATCTTGTTATCCAACACGTCGAGTGTATAGAAAATATATATTAAAAATTTAAAAACAACTTTGGAGTGTATATTGTTTATTATATAAATTCTATACGTATTCGATGTTCGATAAAAAGTATACTTGTAGAGTTTTCGAAAACCAAACATCACAAATACCCCCCCCCCCCAAACACATGCGTGGTCGTTACAGTAAGGGGTTCAAAGATGCCACTTCCTCTATCTCTCCCTTCCCCAAAAAACTTCTAAAAAAATAGAAGAACTTGAGCAAATTGCTAGCATAATTTAATGAGCAAAAAACAAATTATCATCAAATATAATTTAAATTGACAGACGAAAAATGCGGAACTTCCAATCTTTTCAAACTGCAGTACCTATAAGTCAGTATACAATATAATAATCAGTGCTTAACTTGAGGGACGCGGAAAGACTGAGTACCTCTACTAATTTTTTAGATATTCTAGCACACCTACCCCTATTTATAATTTAAAAGAGTACGCGCGTGGCGGGTTATTATTTAAGCCTACCTTTTTTTGTACAATTTCTCAACTTAATTTTTTGTGTTAAATATATAAACCTTATAAAGTATTCTAATATGTACACAGTTTATTGATATTTTATACCTAATATGTGATAATTTATAAGTAGCCATCAATGATAAACCATTCATTATCTATAAATCCAGGTAACCATGCCCCCACGGCTCACTTTTTATTACATTTTCATATGCCCTCCCAATAAAAAATCCTGAGAACACCTATGCCACTGACCTGTTATAGTATTATCATTGAACAACAATTTCTATTATCTCGTTTAACCCAATGATCAATATTCTCATTTATGAAATCTTTTAAATTAAGAAATAAAAAATAAAAAATAAAAATAAAAAAAGATTAATTCATATAAATATAAATCTGTAGTTGGTTTGTACATTTAAATGTTGGCTAAACAATTATTATATTATTATATTTTGTTATAATACGTATTTAATGGTTTTATATAAATACTTCTTAGATACCATAAAAGGAGGTGTGGAAGGCGAAGCACCGCGTGGTAACGTAAAGGATATTAAAATGCTAGGAACGCTACTTTTTTTAAGTAGCTCTACTACTTTTTTCACAAGTAAAACACTGATTGTAACCCAAGTCGTAACCTAACTTAAAATGTACACCTATACACTGGGTTAGCCTTTTATCATGATCTATGGATAATTTCTCGAAGTATTTTAAGTCAATTTCATTTCTACTTTGGATTCAAACTTAATTTTATTACGATTTTCAAAATTTTACTCTAGATTCCTTGAAAACTTAAATGACTATTACGAATGACCATCCTCCTCTCTTTTCAATACAGATCCCAAAAGATAATGTTTTATTTGAAAATTATCAAATGCATAACGCTAATATCCGATATACCATTTAGGAATTACAACAGTTTAAAATGTTCACCGGAAGATTAGGTTATATGAGCTAACCCTGCCGTACTCTTACGGTCTAAATTTTAAACTGTTATTACTTATAATAATTGACAAACTCAATATTCGTGTTATGCGTATCAAAATTTTTAGGAAAATAGTTCTTCTTTAAATCCGATTTCAAAGGAGGTTGCTATTTGAAAATTAAAACTCGCATGTGTTTATGGTGTACCTACCTACGAAATAAGGGTATAACATTTTATAACATATAATATATAACATTTTGATGAATATTATTGTTAACGATTATTTTCTAAAAATAAAAATAAAATCGGTATAATTTTAATCGGAATCTTCGTAAATAAATCGTTAAATAAAAATAATCGTATATTTTTACGCAACGTAACTCGTTAAATTTCGCATACGACTAATAACGGGTAGGTCTATTTTATTATAGTTCTGTTCTACCTTATAAATGCCGTCGACGAGCTTGGTTATTTCTTCGGTCTCCATAGTTAGGTTTCTTTTTTTCGTCGCGGACTCCTGACACGCGCCACTCGCGATATAATATCCGATTAACCGCACGCTCGCGTGCGCATACACACGAAATACACAAAACAGTGGTAAACTCAAAAGCGGCGCGGCGTCTTGTGGTAATATAAAATGCGGAACGACGGGGTCTAGTGTGTAAGGTTTGCGTCTATATAATGCGGCGTCTGGTTAGGGCAAACTACAGCACGGGACAGTCGTCAGCTAGCTCAGCAGGAACGAGCATCGAGCGTATAGCTGCACCAGGACGCGTTTGGGTACGTATCGCGCGACACGTACGCCTACCGTTGCAGCGGTTGTGTTGCACGAGGGAAGCGCGACACGAGATTTTCTTATGAACACGCGGAGTCGCGTAACAGCGGGCACGGGACGCGCGTAATCGAGAAACGACGGACAGCAAACGCGGACGGTCACGTTGCCACTGAGACGCTCGACGGACGACGATGCTATACGACGACTACAACCGACTGGCGACGTAGTGTCACGCGCGCGCCGCCCGTATCGGTTAAAATACGAGTCGGCCGGCGCGTGAGTGTGTGTGAGCGCGCGAGCGTGTACGGAATCTATGGGAACAGTATTAATGTCCGATGACCTATGTAAACAATTTCCAAAGAAGAAAATTAAAATATCTGAACACCATAGCATTATTTGGAATGGCCACCAAACGGTTCAGCCACGGAAAAAACACGTATAACCGAACTTCACCCAGACCCGTTTTTCCGTTTTCATCAGCAATGGTTAATTGTTAATTTTTTTGTTTTATTCCCTTTATCTTTATACTTATCTTTCGTAAAACGCGGCTCGTTTCGCTCGCCGACTCATATCGGACATTTAATCGAAAATAAATCCCGATTTGTTGTGCAAAACCACGTCGGGTGGGTAACAAGGGGAAAAAGTGCAACGTGAAAACGTTTACTTTACGAAATAGAAAAAATTGTTTTTTTTTCATTGTTATTATTTTCCCGATTTGTATGTTCTTGTATATTATTAAATTTACCTGTGTTAATCCCAAAGTAGACCAATCTTATTATTCATTATCTAATCAGTATCGAGAATTACCAGAGATTCCCGTGAATAAGGCACCTTTAACTAAATTTATTTTCAAAAACCGTTCGCGATTATTTAATATTACTATATTCGGGAAACAAATACAACCATAAAATACAAAATATATTACAGTACATAAGTAAATTCACCTAAGTCCACTGACTGAAGTTTGTCGAGTTCTATCGTCTCCACCGAGGACTGAGAAGTCTACTTTACAGACACAAATCAGATATTTAGGCGTGAATCCGGAGTAATTATTAGGGAAGCCGGAGGAGGCATTTAAATTATGAACATATTATAATATATATATATATACATTTTTGTATACAGGGTGTCCTACAGTATTATCCAAATACAATATCATGCAATTATTTTCAAATTTCTTAGTAATAGGCGTTTTAATGTCTTGAGAAAGGTGTGAAAAACAGACGGACATACTTCGCATCACGGGTAAACCACTATTTTTGGTGAGGAGTTGGAAATGTGCAATATAGAGAGAAATTTAATTTATATCTATACGCAATAATTAATTATCACCAACAGAAAACGATTCTGAGCCGAGCCGAGCCGATTCTGTCCTTTTTGAACAATATGTGTTTTTACGACAACGATTTTTTAAAAAATAAAATAAAATAATAAATCAAATTACACATTCTTTCCTTCTTCACCTTCGCCTCCACTCCAACTATTTAGGGTCAGCCACTCTCGTCCTAAACTTCCACTTGACCCGATCTCTCACCTCGCATACACACACCGTCCTCATACCATTCTCAATCACATCCAACCACCTCTTTGTCGTTCTTCCTCTTCCCCTACGTTTAAAATCACACATCATGTAATTAATAATTTTTAATCTTTAAAATTTATAGTAATCTATTGATCTCAAATTTTAAACTTAGACACTTGATATGTAACTGTAATTGGTGAATATTGTTTGCGATAATAGTGATTATTTATTATTAATGATAATTTCTAAGTAATGATATAAAGTCACTCGGTTTTTACCTTACACAGGTTAAAATGATATTCGCAAAAACGGTATAAATGATAGTCGCCCAAGCGGACTATTTATTTTTCAGTCAAAATGATTACCTTCACTCAAACGACCACCGTCTATATCAATTGTTACAAAAACATAGATAGCGTAAGCTGGCCATAGAATGGGGAAATGCGCTGATATTTCATTCTATAATTTGTATTAAATTAATTTTTAAAATGTTCAATAATTCATCCCATGATTGGCAAAATAGTCTAGCCTAGATCCTTTATTTGGTTTTGCTTCTTGACAACACTTTTTCGATTATTAAAAATGTTCCTAATTGAATATAAATCAGTCTCTAAGACATTCGGTATTATCTATTTAAATAAATAAATAATAAGTTTTTTTTTTGTGGTAATAGTTAGATTACAGAGGTGGTCTAACATTATATTTGGGTTGTGTATAGTAGAAATTTACAGACATTTTATTATAGGCATTGATTTTATTGTTTTCGATAATATCGTATATTTTACGTAGGTATGTTATTTCTTTTCGAATACTGTCTCCAGGTGGCTGTTCTACAGTACCAACGTCGAAAAGAACACGTCGTCGACGTCGATCGCCCATTTTCCGGCTAGTGCGCGTATATAACACACGACAGAGGGGAAAAACCTATCCGAGCACGGTATACGTAATAATATTAAAATAAAACTCCGTAACGTCCATGGCCTTCGGATAACGCAACAATAACAAAAACAACCGAGCGGCCGCGGCTCCTCGTCGGCGGCGTGTACCGTACATGCGCGCGTATGTGTTGCGGCGGAACCGGTGCGGCGGCCGCGACGACGACGAGCCCCGGCCGACCGCACCACGCAAGACAACCGCGGCAGGTATGTGTAAGTAATGTGTTAACACGGAAACGAGTTTCAAAAAAAAAGTTCGGTTTTGTTTTGTTCAATTTTTTTTTTTTTAGACGCCGATTTGAAGTACACGCCGCGTTTACCTGCAGTGTAAGCCAGTGTTTCCCAAATTTTATCATTCACGCTGCAGACTCGTGAAATTATACAATAGACCACTAGGTGTAAACTACTTTCGAGACTTTAATTTCGGATGCTGAACGTAGTGAATGTATAATATGTTGGATTTACTATTAAGTACATTTGTTTGTATTGTTTTTTTGTTCTGTCTATAAACGACTTTTTTTTATCAAAATATCGCTCCGGTCATCAAATTCAGCGATGGTTTGCAGTAGATGTTAAAATGTAGATGTTATTTTTAGTTAACATGTTATCTAGTTGGTGCATTAGGATGGTAATTTTTTGATAGTCTGTATAATTTTTTTAATAACGGAGAACAATCGATAATAAACATCGGTAAAACGGGATTAGTAAGCATTATTGTGCAACGAAATTAACTCCCTACTAAGTGGGTATCTGTATGTGCTCACATTTTCTATATTCCCGACGAGCTATGTTTAATTTTAATAGCAAGCCATCCTAATAATAATATAAAATATTATGTAATATCATGATCAATATACTTAGTAGTTAATCGTAAAATACTGATAAATATTGCTAAATACACTAATGTAGTCTAAAATCTATAAATCGTTGGCTTCTTGCCAAAATTTGTAACGGAAAATTTTACTATTGTGATAATAGTGCTATATAATGTAAAATATTACTTTCGAACGATTTGAAGAGACGTCTTAAGTAAATTTCCCACTCTAACCTGCCTAAACTTACAGTTTCTTATTTTCACCAACAAATAAGAACGTAAATATAAAAGTCATTAATGGTTTAGTGAGTTTTGACATAAACAGAAATTATAAAATATTGAGAGTCAAAATTCAGTATCGGTAAAAAAAAAATTCAAAATTACCAAATAACTGTGATAAAACTGGTGAAATCCATGGATTTAAAAATACACGGAACATAGTTGGTGGAAATTGTTACAAAGATTAAAATTATATTAATAACATGAATATTATTATTATTATTATTACCAATCTGTTTGTACATATTCATCGGTTTCTTGCCAAAACTCGGTAATGGCAAAATAGTAATTGTTCAAAAACGAATATAAAGTTTTTAAAAATTTGATTTTTGGTCTCAACCCTACAAAATCCTTAGGTTTTAAGATACTTACATAATTTTTTTTTTAATGAATTCGGCTTATATTACTGCATTAAAATATATTGAATTTTTGTTGAATTGTTTAATGCAACACAATTTTTTTATAAGTAAAGTATATTGTATGTAAATAGTTTAACCGTTAATTAGTTTTACCAGATAGAAAAATGATTATTACTATTTATTTTGACTAGAAAAAATCTGTGTTTGTATAATATTAGTTAATTGATTATTAATACAAATTATTATTTTAACAATATTTTTTATTATTATTTTTTTTTTTTGTAATATTTGTAATAGTTTTTATATTGGTTAATTTCATTTCATTTAAACATAATTATTTTTATTTTTTTGTTTTTTGGTTAGTTTATGAAATATTTTTTTTGAAATGTACGCCAAGTATTCTATACTCCAATAAGAAAACTAATTAATATTAAACCAATACAGAATTTGTCCAGTCAAAACAAACAGTAATAATAATTTTTCTATTTGGTAAAACTAACTAACAGCTAAACTATTTACATTCAATACTTTACTAATAGAAATAATTGAATTAACAAAATCTAATATATTTTAATGGAGTAATACAATCGGATTTTATTAAAAAAAAAAAGAATTATGTAAATATCTTAAAAATTAAGGATTTTGTTGAATTAAGACCAAAAATTAAATTTTCAAAAACTTTAAAGTCGTTTTCTGAATAATTACTATTTTTCCATTACCGAGTTTTAGCAAAAATCTAACGAAATTAATCTTATTTTTATTAGACGTAAGAAAATGATTTAGTTTACATGAGTGATCAAAGATTTTTAAGAAATGGGTGTTTCAAAAACGTGTTTACCAATACAAAATATTTTTTCGCCATGCAACGTTCTACACAAGTTTTTCTTATGACACTAAAAAAGTATTGATAATCCATACTCATGATTCAAATACTAAAATAATAAATTGCCTTGTATAGTTGTATATCCTATCATTCCAGTCATGTTAGGATCCCACTTGCGAGATCAGTGACCGACATGTAATGACTCTATTTTTGCTCACATAATTTACTTTTGATACTCGGACTACCTACGATAAGTCCTCCGATTAGGAAACACTGGTTTAAACAGTATACATAATGCAGATTATAGGTATAGTTACACAACCAGTGTGAATTATTTTTTAAACGAAGATTCATTATTTAGTATTTTATAACAATTCGTTTTTTGTTTTTTTGTTTTTTACTGCACATACTAATAATTTTCTAAAATATACATTATATAGAATATATAGTATTACGTGAGTATTATTATTAAAA